GGACTAAGGGGGGGGGGGGGGCTAAACCACAGCAATCGAGGGGCCTTCCCCTGCAAGAATGGGGGGGATGTGGGCTTCTGGCCCCTGCTCACACCACTGATCCATTTTGTGTTAGAGACAGATTGGATACTGCAGTCCTGGAAGGAAGCAGGAGTCTCTGCTCCTTTACTCTTCTGAAAGCGAGTGCTGCTAAGTACCAGCACAGAGACATTTTCTTCTGTTTCTTTCCAGTGCACTGCTGAAAAGTTTAAGCGTGGGACAGCTGAAAAAAATTAAAACCCAGTTTCGGTTGATGCAATCCTCCCGTTGCCCCAACAGCACAGTTCCTTTTGCGGCGTTCCCAGCAGGCCCACACTTAAAAGTAAACTGAGTCAACAAGGATCATGCAAAGCCATGAGACGGGCAGCCAGGTACTTCATGCTCTGAAAAGACAGCAACGCCGCGGCAGGGTGAGCACTCTCATACACATTCTTGTCAGATGTCAGCTGGTGGAGGCACGCTGGCACATGCACCTCAAGGAGCCAGGGATAAAATTTAAATCTTGAAAATAATTACCTTCTCTTCTTGCAGCCCCTCTCAAAACCTGCTGCTGCTCAAGCTAGCTGGTGTGCCCTGTCCTCCAAGCTCATCGATTCTTACAATGAGTTTGGAACAGCACTCCAGGGACCTGAATTCTGCAAGTTTACCTCATGCCTGATGCCCTTTTCATTAACTCTTTGGCATCAGGATTTTGTGCCGATATTATTTTGTGCTAGAAAAGAGTTGCTGCTGCCAAGAGACTGACAGAGAATTCTGCCTACACCCAGCAGCTTTGATTAATCCTTCATTGCCAAGAGACAAGATTTCCAGATGCTGGTCACTGATGGGGAAAGAGTCAGCAGAGAAATCCCATTTCTCACTTCAATGGGCTAATTTTCTCAGCTCCACACAGTGGCTCCTGGTCTCAAAGCTGTAACCCCAGCAATAGGAGGCTCACAACAGTGAGCCTTTCTGCAGTGGTTGTGAATTCTTCTTAAGGGCCCTATTTTCTGATAGAAATTACTATCAGAAAAACAAGCAAGAATTAAAACAGCCCTGTGAGGTGCTATACAGAAACACCCTGTAGAAAAGCAGTTCCAACAACCCACAAAGAACGATTATCCAGCAGAAGGTTGCTGTTGACAGATGAGGTCAAAAAAGAACCAGAGTGATTAAAACAAATATCTGTTTGTTGTAGCTCACCAGCTTCCTACCATATGCTTGGACTCTTTTGTTGTTTTATCCTGTGATAGATAATAGTGTTCTGTAACTGTTCTCCCCCAAGCTTTCAAAAGCTCTGAACAACTCATTCTTTCTACCCTGGTGGTCCTCTGCTTTGCTTGAGATTAAAGAGACATGTTAAAAAAACACACTGGAAAAGCAATCTTGATCCTTTGAGGAAGGGTGAATTGAAATCATGCTACTGACACCTCCTCTTCTTACTGAGTCACAGAAGTTTATCCATTTTTTGTGATACTAAACCTCTACCAGCTCTGCGTTACCGGTTACTGCCACAGTATTTTTAGTCCTTCTAAAATAAGCAGTAGTTTTTCTGTCAACACACTGCACAGCAATATTAGAGTCATTCGATAACATGTGGACCTCTCCCAAAAATAAGGCAAAAAAGGGAAAGAATCAAAAATAAATGTATAATGGCTAAACTTGAAGGACAGTCTCATCTGAGTTAGAAGTGAAGCGTTCTCTGTTACTCAAACACACGATTTACTGATGGTGAGGTGTTAGTGTGATCCACATCCCAGTTTAAGCTACCAAAAGCCAAGTCCTAAATGCCTTTCTGTGAAGAGGCGCACCTGTTTATACAGGATCTAAACATCCAACAGATTGTGCTAGCCACCCACAACTTACTTCTAGTGATTTCTAGGCAAGTGAAAAACAAAGAGGGGGAAGAGACCGAGTTAGTTTGGAGAAGTTACCAAGAAAACGCAGACAGACAACAGACAGAGGCTGTTGTAAATGCTCACCAGACTTGATCAACACGTTCAGTGTCCCTGCAAGGAGGGGAGAAAGAGCTCAGAGGGGAATGAGCAAAAGCACCAAACAGGGGCAACAAAGGAAGCTAGATGTTTTTATCCTGCTCAAGGCCTGTGTGGGTTTCAACTCATTTTCACTCTCAGGGAAGATGTTGAGCAGACTGCCACTGATCATGGGGATTTTTGAAAACGTATGTTATGGAAATACTTGGTTTTCTTGTTGGTTGCCATTCCTTAGTGGTCTCTACCATAAACAACCAGAGCCTATGTGGACAGCCTGGTCAACCCAGATACTAGACATTTGAAAGCTGAAGAAACCAAGACACTCAAGGGAAATTTGCAACCAAACTTGAAACCCTGAGTCAATTTTAACTCCTCATGCTGTTGGGGGTGTCCCGTGTGCATCCATGCACTAGGAATTCTCCAGAGCCCAGGCCTAGGAAACTAAACCGCAGATGCCAAGTATCAGTCAGCCTAGGGAGGCAGGGCAACAGAGCTGAATGGGTACACTTCACAAGAGGTACCACTAGGAGAAGGACAAAGGAAAACACCTCTTTAACTCTTATAAAACCCTTCAGAGGTGTACAACTGTATGCTTAGTAATTCTATTTTTCATCTGAAGCCTTAAGACGTACAAATTTGCACAAACACAATGGGCATGAAAAAAAAAAATCAAAGCCATTCAACTTCTATTTATTCTTCCCTGAGTTTGTTTATCTTTACAAGAAGACTAAATGGAGCAAAATATTGAATGGACACAAACCAAAGGATGTTTATAATTCTCTACAACTTCAAAAAGCAATGAAGCATCAAAATGTGATGACTGTCATTTTTTTAAATGATGGTTCTTGTAATAGTTTTCTCATGTCTAGAAATTGGGAATAGGAATTTATTTGAAACAGAATTTAGGAATCTGAGATTCTCCATCTTTAACTAGAGTATGATCTAATCAAAAGGCCTCTGCCACCTGTTCTTCATTAAGCCCTTGATGTCTGCATTATCTGGTGCAGCCTCTGCTGGCAGTATGTTTGGCAAAGAAAATTCCTGAAAACTTAAACTTGTATTTCACATAGGTGTCCTTTCCATATTCTCTTACAAGAACAATTTAATGAAAAGGGAAGAATGGTTAAAGAAGGAAAGGAGCAGATTTACAACCAGTAATGGGAAGAAGATGCTATTCATATATTTGCAGTATTGAACTACTGAATGCTAAAGACGACAAATCAGTTTTGTTTTTTTTTATTACTTACACCCTTTTAAAAAGCTAAACAAGCAGCTGCCTCCAAATTCGGTTTGAGAAAAAAGGCAGGATCTGTTTAGGCTGAGGTGGAGCAGATACCAAGTGTGGCTTTTAAAATATATACACTGCATGAACTGAAACCGAACAGGAGAAACTTCTGTTCTCCCAAAGTGCTCGGTCCTCCAGGAGCTGCACAGCTCTACTCTGAAACACTCAGTCTGACATCTATCCTTGAGAAAGGAACTTCGTGTCAAAAGAAAACCCTTTCCTGGTTTAACAGGAGAGGGAGCAATTCAAGCCGTGGCCATGCCTCCCCCCTGCTGTCCTCTGCCGATGCACAGGTTACCTGCAGTGGTGCTTCCTGCTGGCAAGCCAGAACACACTGTCACAGCCATAGCAGTGCGCAGCCAGGTGGTCTGGAAGCCATCGTGTCACCTGGGAGAAAGAAAAGCCAAACTTATCAAGGAGAGGGCAATTAATTAGAAACAAGCCCACCTCGTTTGCGCTCACAAATTCAAAGCAAAGCATCACGAGGGAAGCGCTGCTTCTATTTTAAGAGCACAGATTCGGTGTTTGCAACAATTGAAGACAGACGACAGAAATCTTCGCTTTGAGAACAGATACGCTAAATTCCCCTTAGACAAACAGAAATTAAGTCATGAAGGCTAATTCCCTGGTCTTTTTCCTGTGCTTTGAAAGTATCCAGGCCAAGACTCTTCACCAAGCACGTGTCCACCTAAGGCTCCCTCAGCTAACCATCCCTTCCAAGGCTTCTCCCATACACAGACAGCAGAGGGCTCATAGGCACAGGTACTGATACTTAAAAGTATGAGACACAAGTGAAATGCAAGGAGGATAGTTCACAAGAAGTGGCACATGACCAAAGGCTGTAGGATAATTTGAATCATGAATATCCCATCCTACCGGAAGAATAAGCGATTTACAGGGATTTAGTCTGTACCTCTGTGTCCTGTTTATCCACCTGTTCCCAGCTGGCTTCAGAGAAAATCTCTGTGCTGCAGCGAGACAAGCAGTTCTGATCCAGATTGCTTTCCGAGTCGGGTATAGAAGTCTGTTGGCAAACAAACACAGCTGAACAGAACCTTCCCATATTCCTACTTCCATACAAATAAAAACCGGACAGTCGTGGGGAGGAGTGGAGTTTCTTGCTAGGAAAGAGCACGCTATGTCTGCACTGGAAGGGTAGATGTCATAAGCAGTCACCTACCCACAGTGCACACGTGGCAGCAAGGCCAGAGTACCCTTCTGAATGGGACTATAAATGCCACACGTTGAAGTGCTTAGTGCAGCAATGAATTGAAAAAAAAAAAAAAAGCCCCACCAGCTAAAAAAAACCCCTAACAGGTCAGTTTTGACCATCAGGATGATGTGAAGTAGAATGGATTTAAAATCTGTTTTCTGCTGTGTTAGCCCAAAGTTCTGGCAATACTTTGGGCAATTAACCAAAAAAAGCTGCTATCTGTGGCTCCAATTTCACAATCACATTTCCTTTCCAAGATTGTTTCACTTTCAAAACTAATATTAGTAATACATATATCCTTTTGTTGGCAAAAATACAAGCCAAATTACACGTGGGAAACTCGGAATTTGAGCCATATATATTCTGCATATATGTTGTTTGGAAGTAATGCTTCTTTAATACAGTCTATCCAGGTAGAGTTCTATTTCAACAGACTCAGCCAGCCCTTAAAATACACTAAAATTAGCAAGAAATCTTAAGTTAAAGTCTTTTTGTGCCTGAGGAATGGGCATCTCTGGAGCTCCAGAAGAAAACCTGTTACTCCCAAGCTGAGGCACAAACAGAAAGTAGAGATTAAATTCTCAGAAATGGTGAATTTTCTAGAGGACAGCGTGCTCTCACATCCAGCCCTACGCTGCATTTTGTGAAGGCCCTTTAAAAATGGGAGTATAATAAATTAAGCCAGAGACCAAATTTCTCCAAGGAATCCAAGCTTTTGCCAGTGACAGAAGCCACAGCCAATTGAAATGATGCCGAGCTGAAATGGATGCCCAAAAGGAGCACTTAGTGCTGGTGTCTCCAATGTGAATAGCCAAAAAGACTCTGAGGATTCTCCACATCGAATGTACCTGGGACTATCCAGCACCTCTGCCACTTCTAAACAAGATTAAATTAAACAAACAAAAGTTGGAAACCTATTTTTTTTTTCCAATTTTTCAGGCATACAAAACACATTACAATGTGTACGTAGGAAAAGAAAATTTCTGACGGGTGTTACTGTCAACAGCAGGAATTACAGGCCAATGCTCTGCTCAGTATTCAAACCCACAGGAAGACACAAACTCTGTTTCAGACATTCCAGGTCGCTTCACCTTCCCCTTCATGCCACTTTCCTCCTCCTCCTCCTATGCCTGCCTGCTTCCCCAAGTAGCTCTCCCCTCTTCATTTATTTTACTTAGCTAATAATACTGGGCCTTAAGCTATGCAGCAACCTGCAGAACTGCTCAGTGCTCAAAGGCCTCTACAGAACAGGACTCCTGTTTGTTCTCTGCATTAGTGTTACATTCAAGCAACAGTATAAGGCCAGTGACTGTATTTCTTTTGACTTTTTATTATTATTTATTAGTCAAAAGAGGAGGCAAAATTAGGTAAAAAACAGGTAGGGAAGAAGCAACTTAAAAATCCACCCAAGACATACAGAGACATATAGAAAACTTGCTAGCTATTGAGATCTTGAATTTGGAATTACCCTTATTTAATTTCTGATTTTAAAATTTCTTTTGCAACCACAACTACATAGATCATTTAATCACTACAGAAATTAACATACCATATCTGAATCATGCCTCAAACTTAAGTCTCTACTTTTATGACTTTAAACACTTTTAAGTAAAAGCACAAACAGTTTTAAAGCTCCCTTAAAATTCTTAATTCATTGAGAAAAACCCCTCATTGACATAAGGCTGTCACACAAAAGCTCTTTATTCTGGTTAATGAGCCTTGAGCAGGCCAGCCATCTGAAAAGGGGACAGCTTGAACTTCATGGTTTTGAGTGAACAGAGCAGCCACTGCTGCATCTTTCTTACCCCGAGCATGCAAAGCACCAAGAGATCAGTCCTATGCTACTGTCCCAATACATGACACATCCACATCCTTAGAAAAATATCTTTGCCTGTATATGAAAACAACAGTAAAGCAAATGTGGGGTTTTTTAATAGGGCAAACAAGGGTGTTTTAAGTATGTCCAGGTACGTGTGAGTTCACTGTGAAACACCCATCTTGAAATAAACCTCTGGTACATTTACAGTCAAACTGAAATACAGTGCAAATATGTCATCATTAATTTCCACCTGCCATGTACTCATTCGGTCGTTTGACCTCTTCAGAATGACCTTGAAAGTTTCACAAAAGCCTGCATGGCCAAAAAAATCACTGCCTGAACAATGAACCAAGAGCTGAGAATACGGTGAGCTCCAGAATGTGCCTAACTAGCCCACTGTTTCCAGCAGTGGCCCAATTACCATTTCACTTACCACTTCATCTCCATAATCGCCATTGAGGCGTAAGGAGCTATTCAGGAACTGGCTCTCCAACCGGCTCTTCAACTCTTGCACTTGCTTCTTCAAGGTCTCCACTTCCTGCTGATGGCCAGTTTCTATCTGGCGCAGGCGCTGCTGGATAACATCAGTGTAGACAGGCATCCCATCATCGTCCAGGTGACTTCTGGCAGGTTGGTCTGGGCTGCTGGCTGCCTGCTGCTTACCAAGATGACTAAACATCCATTTTTGGTGCAAGTTCCTCAAGTGAAACTGTGCAGAACTACAGCTAGCCGTGGAGACCTGCCGACTCAGAGAGGCTTTGGTCCGACCGTCCTCTCCATTCACACAGTGTCCGTTTGTCGCATGGTATTTCGGGGGGATACTAAACCCCGCAGGCTTCTCTGTCATCTTGTTCTCAGGCTCCAGCTCTCCATTACACACAATCTCATCTTTACATTCAGCTAAAGGCAAGGCACAAGGGGAAGGCATTGGGATGTGTGTGTTGCTGCTACCAGAAGTCCTGTGTAGTTTTGTTCCCAGTTTTTGAAGTTCTAGCATGCTCTCCCCCTCTAGCCTATTTTCAATAGTTCGAGAAAGTTCATCAGCACTGCTGCTGATCAGGTGAGGTCTATGGCAGGGACCCTTCGGAATGAGCTCTTGCTTTGCTTCATTCTCTGTTAAGGTTTCTGTAGAACTTTCAATGTTGGATGTTCTTGCCTCGTGTGGGATTGTAAGAGGTAAGGGCAGACCAGCCTGCGCTGTATTGTACAGGCTCTCTGCTTCTCCTTCAAATTTGCTAACACCTTCTTCCTCCGTATTCTTCTGCACATCCCTATTTACAAAGCCCTCCAAAGGAGCAGTCTGTAGTCCTTTCGCCTGAGGTAACTTCTGGATGGTGTTACTGAGATCAGTATGCTCATCCTGGAGTCCTTTAAGCTCAGAAACACCTTGTGAAACTGGATGTGGATTGGATGCTGGATTGTTCATCGCAATACCTTTATCCGCCTCAGCTTTCTCACAGAGGTCACTGACATACTCATGTAGGTTTTCAGTTCTCTTCTTACCCAGGGCAACCTCATCCCCTTTGCCTGCTGTCTCTAGGCTACCCCTTAAGTGCTCCTCCAGACCAACATCATCTTTAGTGGCCTCTTGCAAAATGTTCTCCATCTGTCCCTCTGCCACACCAGCTGCAACAGAGAGTTCTGCTCCGACTGGAGCCCTGCCTTGTTTACCCAGGCTGTCTCCATCAAAGGAATCGTCCCCCGGGTTACCGAGGCTGCTCAGCTCCAGAGACCGACGGTGCTCTTGCCACTTCTCATTGAGGCTGGGGTCACTGCTACGTCGATTGGTTGTAGGCACGCTGCTGTCACAGGCTGTTGTCAGATTGTCAAATGATCTTGTCTTTGGTAATCTGTGAAGGTACAAATATTCAGAATCCCAAATCAGGGGATTTTTTTTTTTTTTAAAGAATTAGTTACTATGGTTTAGAAACTTCTTCCCCCAATTAAGACAGTAACAATCTGTTAGCTAATGGACTTCCGTGAAGTATAATCTGGGAGCACATTTTGACCATCTGTAGTGCAGAGCTGCTTCAGTACTTCGTTTACCATCAGGAAAATATGTTCAATCAGACTTCAAACATTCCCAGAATAATCCCTTTACCACAAAGCACAAATGCTTACAGTCTGGTCACACCTCCTAATTACCATGTACTCAGAATCATTGTACAAAAAAGCAAAGAAATAGTTATGCAACACAGAAAAAGAACTCAAATTCAAGACAACCAGATGAAAGCTCATACCCCACCCCACAAGGATATAAGGAATCCTACAAGGCTATGCAACACCTAGAGCTTGCCACTCTTCTCTCTGTTACACTATCACCTCTGAAACGTAACAGAAATAATGAGAGACTGCTTTTGGCTAGGTCAAACAGTCCCACACACAAGCCTCTGAAGAATACTTCCCTCCCACCAAAAGTATTCTCCTCTTTATATCCCACAATATTCTCTGTTGATCTTACTTTACAGGATGGGATTTCTGGGCTCTAGGCTCACCTGCCCAGAGGCTGATCTTCAGGGCTAGAGCCTGGAACAGGGTATGGGGCACAGGTGTCATCAGCAGGTGTAGAGGGGGAAGAGCATGGCAGGTAAACAGCACTCCAGAGCATTAAATTACGCACATGGCACACTGGATACAGCACCTGAGAGGGAGAACACACAATGTTCAGTAATGGTAAACTGCTCACTTCCAGAATGCAGAGAGGTGTTCAAATCTGATTGTGGTAACCTGGGCTTATTAAAATTCAGGTTTGCAGCTGGGAGGCTTTGCTAGATCTCTGGATAACTCTGAAGGCCAGTGAGCAGCTCTGGCATTTTTAATCAGCTACACTTGGATATATAATTATCTTTTCTTTCAGAGACAGAGGCTGAGGCATAACAATGCTGGCTTTCAGCTTCTCATGAATGAATTACTGCAATGTGCTCTGTGTGAATCTACACCTTAATAATGCTTCTGGGCAATTTAAACTGCGGAAGAATTCAGTGGCCCATTGTCAGTGCAGAGATCTCCTTGTACTTTGTATTATACCATGCCATATGAGAGCTGAACTAATAACCTCCTCCTACAGGCTCCAATTCATCAAAGCTAACCCTGTCTTTAATGGAAGCACTCATATGTTAAAAATTAAGTACATGCAGAAATACTTTGTTGAAAAGGCAGCTTGCTCTTAAAAGGGATTCCTTGACTGTGGAATATGCTTTCTGTTTCAGTTTAAAAACACGTTGGTTCATTCTATCTATTCTACTGTTTTCCCAGGTAATTTTCTTGCGGAAAAGCAGGCAATGGCAGAGAAACAGGTTTCCTCGCTGCTAAGCAGAGGGAGGGCTGGGGGGTTGGCTTGCTTTGATGGATGCTGCTCTTTAACGACTATGGTTTTATAACAAATGTGGCTACATCACAAAGGCACCTTTTAAACACAAATAAAAGCACAAAAAGGTGGATACAAGACAGGAAATTACCAAAACTCCCACGTACAGACAAATTATCCTAATTAGCTCAGTAGACTACAGCTTTTAGTATTTACTGAGGTCAAGTCACCTAGACAGCATCTACACTGCAGAATACAGCACGTAAGGGCAGCCCAAGGACAGGACCTGTCCACGTTGCCCGCTTCACAAGCACTCTCTAAGCTCCTCCTGGGCAAACCTGCTGCTATTCTCAGGAAATTTAGAAGGGTCCATAGCTTTAGGAGTCCTCACAAGCCCTATTTATCTGAAATATCTCATGCTTTTGGCTATCACATCCACTCTGAGGATGACAATGTCAGGCTGAAAAGTCTTGAAGGGCTCTCTCTGACGTTGCCTGTCGCAATGACAAATGGGATCTGCACACAGTCTGAGCGCAGGCTGCACGTCCAGCATCCAGGGGAGACAGCCACAGAGGGCTGATGTGAATATAAAATTAGTCTTTTTGTAACAAATGTAGGCATAAACTCTGTCCTACTAAGCCAGGTTTTAATTTTACTCTAAAGAACAAATGGCTTTCATGTCTATCATATGCAAAAACATTGCATAGTCCTTACAGGTACCTCATGGTATCTGATACTTTTATAAACAAAAAGAGTTTAAATATTTATAAGTCTCTGCTGTCATAATCATGATGACATTCAATGATTGCCTGTTTGTTCACATGCCCACCATACTACATCACTAAATCCCTTACATGCCTTTTTTATCAAAGATACAAAAGGTAAGTCCCTTCCCAGAAGTTTCAGTGAGCTATTACTACAGAAGAGCCAAACTGAAAATGAGAAAGTATTAAGAGAAACAAAGATATACTATATAAACTGTGTTCCTTTTTCTGTTTAGATTTAAGATGAAGACAGACAGTGTCTAGGTTTGTGATTTTATGACACTTCTCTGACATAGCTTAGTTCTCTAGAAAAGTCCACTTGTCAAACACTGAAATGTGTTTCACACAAAAAAAGCAAAACATTTAGTTACAGAAAACACATTTCCAAGCATAGAGAAGTTTCTGAGGTTGTATCTGACATTCCTCAAGCATCACCAAACTTAATGCAAGACTTGAAACCTCAGACTGAACAGACTGTTCAAAGGTAAACATCAATGAGGAGAGCTGGGCACACTTTTCTGGAAATGCCTCTCCCTACGCTGTATTCCCAGTGACAGTTAAGCCATTATGATGTCCCACTGCTATGAGCTTGGGCATTTTCTTAAGGTACGAACTGAGATCTTCGTACCTGGGAGCCCCTAAGGGGACTCTCCCCGGGTGGTGGGGAATGGAGGATACATACAGATTCAGACTGGGAGGAGTAGAGCAGGTTTTTGAAGGCTTTGTTTGCTGCCCGCAGCAAAGACCAGACAGAACAGGTCCGTTCCTGAGTGTGTTTTTCTCCTCTCTCTTTCGCATTGTTGCACAGGAATGTACCAAAGAGGCAAGAGTAGGTGTGCTGCACCAATTTGACCTGCACAGACCAACAGAAATATTGTCACATGGCAGAAGACATCAGCTTAATGTGAAAAACAACATTCAGGCTTAAGAAGCAACAAATCCTTTCTTTGCAGGGCAGTACGCCCGCTCCCTAAACACCGATATGAAATGCACCCAGCATTTTTTGCATACCTCCTTATAAACTAATTTCAAAAGAATTCAAGCCTAGTAGAATCTTTTAAAATTGTAACTAAAAAAATTTAGGAAAAAATATAAAGATAAAATATTTGTTCATAAACAAGTACAGAAGTCTTGCTGATTCAAACTCATAGCCCTGTAGGATAGGCAAAGAGAATCATGATACCAGTTACAAAACATTACTGCAGCACAGAAATTCTGATCATTATTCACTCCATGCTGTGGCCCCAGTCTGACAAAACAGCTTAATATGAACTTAACTTTAAGCATATAAATGACTTCCACAGGATTATTCAGACATTTAAATGAAGACAAGTACTTCAATACTCTAATAAATTAAGAGGTTTACTCTAAGAAGGCCAGAATACTAAGAGTATGTTCACACACAGCTCTGGTAGATTAGCAGTGTGCTGTGAAGCCAGTTATAACCTTATGTATCTCATTTCACAACTGAGCTAAGCTAGGACTGTACATATACTCGGTTACATGGCTGAGCTGGCAAGTAGTAATTCAAGTCAACCACAATCACAGGAATGTGCTTTAAATCTCTCAGTGGATCAGACACTTCATAAAAACTTTTATTCTTGAGATTACCAGTCCTGCAGTCAGCAACTGCCACTTTCGCAGAGACCTGCTTTCTCACCTTGAGAACGTTTTTGACCATCCTAGGCAAATTCCTAATAAGAGAGCTGTTCACTTCAAAAGAAAGTAAAACACAGCTCGAATATCCTGAACATTTTTAGCAAAGAAACAGCAAAAATGAATGGAAAGTTAAGGGGCAGGTTGTTTTTAGAGGAGTCTTCAAGTCAAAACAAGATCAAAGTAGTGGGAAGTTTATACTGTCAGTAATTATGATATTTTTCATGGTATGCAGATGTATTATACCAGAGTTATTTTAGCACCTCTTAGGTGTGAATATTAAAATTGTATCATTTATTTATTTCTTTAAAGTCTAAAAGAAGTCCTTAACAGTCCTGCTTCTGTGTTAAGAGTGAACAGATCTCAGGTCCCATGAAGTATACAAGTACTTTTGTCTTCTGTATCTGGGCAGTTTTCCTGTTACCTTTATCAGGCTGTAGCATATCATAGATGGGAAAATCAAAAACCCCTTGGGGCTCTCTAGTATGTTAGCACTGGGTACTGTAGAAGCACTTTATAAAACAGCAATCTCTCAAGCCACAACTCACAAGGAATGCTTCGTTAAACTCGAAAGAGCAAGGAAACTGCCTCTGGAGCTGATGGACGCAGTCCAGCCACTGTAAAAACACTGGGCAGCGCTCATTTAGGTCATCCGAATTCTCACCATGGCCACAGCGATCTGCAAACTTGTGGCCAAAATCCAGCCACTCTGTCTCCACTAGCACCTGGAAACCCTGTAGAAATGAAAGTACAGATTAAAAGTTCCATTTTTCTTGAGTTCAATTTTCTAAGATGGTCTTAGACTCATGGGAATCACCTTATTACTGTGTCCTCACTACTATTTCCCTTCAGCACTGGCCTCATTACTTATCTTTACTGCTTTACCTAATGCCTCTGTGTTCTGAAATGCTGCACAATGAAATCAGGACAGATATGAATTCCCAAACCCACGTGAATAGGAAAGGGAGTAAGGCAGGTTAAGTGTTCAGTGAGTGGCAGGAAAGATCCTGACATGAGACCTATCTTGACCAGATAGGGGAGAGTAGGAACTTCATCTTGATCAAAACCATCCGGATCATGGTAACCAACATTTGGACAGGAAAAGAAATTTTAAAGCTCTCCCTTGAAAATGATGGGCAGGTCTGTCTGTCATATAAGAAAACAATTCCTCCACAACAGAACATTCATCCATGCTCAGAGACAATGCTTGCCTGTGTGTACACCAGATGCAGCACAGCCACCAAGACTGATTAAGGGTTGACTTGCATGATTTCTCATGCAAACAAAAAGGGCAAAGAACATTTCAAAACAGTATCTAGCTGAGCACCTGAATGCGACACCTCATCTTACAGGACCTAAACCCCATCACAGGTTAGGAAGGTTTCAATTCTTAGCAGAAAGAAAAATTGTAGAGCATGCTTAATAAGTCAATGGCTGTAATTAGACCAAAAATAAGAGTTGATAGTTGAAAAGCCTGAAATGTGACAATGCTAAAGACTCATTTTCCTAAGCATTTCCGATCCTTGTATGGACAGCTACAGTTTATGGTTTCCTCTGATGTGGTGGTGATAAGAAGGGGGGCAAAGGGCATGTACAAAAGAACTCTGCACTTTGACCAGCAATGACAGCACTCAGAGTGGACCAGGAAGAGGTTCAGTGCCAAGGGCAGAGCAATATATTTTGACCTGATGGATGCCAACTTCTAGAATACATGTGAAAAAAGGATCTGAGAAACCTTCACAATTTCATCCAAAAGACATTGCTAGCTACAGTTTAAACTTATGGTCCTCATGCATCCAAGACTTTAAGCAGCAGTTTATAGAACAGTGTTCAGACATATGCTTCTGTTCTAGACAACAAAGGCATCTTGCATGTGGGCTGGCAGATGGAATCCAGCCATCACGTTATCACACAATGCTGGAAAGTGATGGGGGGGAAAAAAAACTCAGGCTGAAAAAACAGAAGAAATACAACTAAGTGACAGAGGACAACGAAAATGTGAAACTGGAAAAACACGCAGTTGGGAAATCTAGAAAAGAGAAGGGCTTTGTTTCAATAGTTGGCTGAGAAATTGCAATGGTGTAATGGAAACTGCAATATGTAGCACTTTGTACTACATATTCCTAAACTAAGTATGTGGAAGCATAGACCATGACTGTGCAGTTACAGCAAAGGGGGAAAATATAATCTGCTCTTGAATTACAGCCTATAGTTACACCTATATGTAACTGTATCTGCAGACTACTGTTTGTAAACTCCTAGCTTTAGTGGCCTCTCTAGTGGAAAAAAATGAAATAATTTACAGACAAACCTCCTCAGAAAAGGACCAAAGTCCAGGAACTACCTCATGCACTAACAGATAGTTTACAAACCTCTGTGGTCCTGTAATATGGATCTAGCAGCAGTTTGGCCAGGGCCACTATCTGGGGAGTTCGGTCCCAGCCGTCGGAGCAGTGAACCAAGACTGGTCGCTGGTCTCGGTCCACAGCGTGAACCACGAGTAGCGCAGACTTCAGAAGCACAGATAAGTGCTGCAGCCATTTGGTACTTTCCAGAGCTGATAACCAACTAGAGGAAAACAAAGGAGGACAGTTTTTGCTCTTTTAAAATGCTTTCAGGTTTGGATCTCTGAATTTATCAAGTCAAAGCTCCTATTTTTTTCATTATCTTTTCTTAACACTTTCCCAGATTTCTAAGAAACAAAGCCATGCATCCACCTCCGGAACAGCTAGTCTCTGGTATGCACTTTGCTGTGTAAGACTTACAAGCCGCTTAAATAATATTTTCCCAGACAAGAGCATAACAAGTCACCAGCAACGGACAGTGTAAGCACTACTGGGAAATCGTTACTTTCAGGAGCCTCTGCTGTCTCCCCTCCTCTGAGCTGAGGATTCAGATCACACAGCAGTCCCAGCACCACTGGCTATCTTGGGACTCTGCCATACGCTCCTGACAACTCTGCACTTCAGTATAAGGGTGGAGCCTGAGGTGCCTTTGAAATCCCCTGTATCTCAACTATTGCCAGGCTTTACAATGTGTGCTGAAGGTATCTTAAGAATCTCTACCCTATGAAGATACACATATCCAGTTTAGCAAGGGTGGCCATTCTGGATCTACTCTGAAACCATGAAAGACTCTTAGCAGCAAATTCAAAACAGGGAAGTGGTAGGGGAAAAAGAACTGGTGCAACTACAGTGTCCTAGTGAAGACCCAACCTCAGAAGCTCCCGAGATGGTGGGCCGTTAGAGGATAGTCATCCCATAGCTCTGGAGGGCTACAAAACATGTCTCCTGAAATGACACTATAAATGTGTGAAGTACATGGAACACCACTAGAATTTTCTGGAGAGCCAAGCTGTAAAGATTAAAGCACTGGGAAAGCAGGTAAGTCTATGTGCTAGCACTTAGAAGCCCATCTGAAAGTAGTAACATTCTAGTATCAGCAATACTCAAGGCTACAGTATAATCTCAGATCTCATTTTCTAGGTTTACTTCAATGATAATAAACCAATGACTTCTTTCAGCTCAAATTCAATGGAAATTCAAAAATACAGCTTAGTGTTACTACACAGTAAAGTCACCAAGGGAAAGAAGACTGAATTTCAGTTTACAAATCAGCAGCAAAAGAATGCAGTTGTAGAAACATGTAAACAAAGGCAAAAACCACCAAACATCCACTTACTTTCCTGGATCTGGCATTTGTGTGCAGAGCAAACGCAGTGACTGAAAGCTCTTTCGGATAGAATGAATGTTTGCCATCCCCATGAACACTACTTCACAGTTTGGATAATATTCTGTAGGGAAATATCAAGAAAGAGGAAAGAAACTAAAAACTAAGCTAAGTTTAATTTCTAAAAGAAGCTTTTTCATAAAACCAAACCACTGTTGGTGTGGACAGATGAAATAATCTGTTTACGAATATTCTGTAAGGAGAAACTAGTACTTGGAGTTCGGTAGGTATTCCAGACATTACAACACAGCATAGCAAAACAGGAAAGAGTTAGCAAAGAGTTTGTGTATTTATTTTCAGTGTTCACTTCACATTACAAAAAGGAGAGTACAAACTTATGGGAATAGTGATATTGCCGTGCTTGAGGTTATAGAATGTTTTTAAAAGGCTGAGAAACATTAGAAGAGACTGTGAAGCATAAACAATACTTAACTGATAATTACTGATGCTCTTAAACGTGGTAAACTAATGTGTATTTTTATATAAATTATATACTCCTTTTCCTAACCACTCAAAAAGGCTGAAAGGTTGCTTCATTCTGAGTTTTTCTATTATGAGGAACAAGCACCACACGTGTGAGAAACACTCAAAGCTCAGGAAAACAGACAACAGAATTGCTGAGCCTGCCTTCAGACGTTGCTATGGGATGTACTCAAGCAACTCCGCTCTGCTGGGCAGGCAGCCTCTGTACAGACTGGGTCTGCTGCTCAGAGGGAGCACCTAAGAAGATGCAGAAAGATAATAAAATTGATATCTTTGCTAGATTTAGTTTTCCTCTGTCCTGATGCTTCTATCTGTGCAAAAATGACAAATGAACTTTTCCACAAGAAAAAAAATAATTCATCAGGATTCAAAAATAGGGGATATTGAGTACTTGCACAAGAAAATGCAGCAGCCTCTTAAAGAGCATGTTTTATATTATTTGATTTCTTAACTGTTTATCAGCCCAACAAATTCTGGCCCAAACCAGAACATCCTGTTAGTGATCGGACTATGTACCTCCAGTCAGAAGTGACTGGCAATATCAGACAATTCAAACATTTTTTTGTCTTTTTACTGAACTATGTTATATATAAAGCACAACATAAATTAGATATTTTTATAGAGAGAATGATGCAAACTTGGCAATATCTGAAGAAAACTTATCAGCAAAAAGGAAGCACTAAATGCAGGTCAAATTCATTGAAGGTGACAAGCTGCATGGAAATTTTCTACAAAGAATTCAAGAACAAACATATAGAAAGAAAATTAAACTTCTTGTATACTCAGCTTTTCTGTTTTGAAATTTTACTCTCTGATGATGAGTTATTTAGTAGTTTTCAAGTGTTAAATGGAAAATTCATCTTTTCTTACTGGTAGCTAGATACCAAGGTGCAGCTACTGCAGCAAAGACCAGAACAAGAATATATGGTCTTGTTATCTTATCTGTAGTTTTTCTGTCTGGTAAATTTTTCTAGACTCTCCACCCACGGAATTTTAACAGGCTGCATTCATATCCAATAGTGACCATAAAATAACATCTTGCTTATAATACCAACAATTTACAAATGCCAAAGAACACAGAAAGTGATAATTGCAAATGTATTACAAATACAAGATGAATCAGGATTTCAGATGCTTTGGGTTATGACACAAATGCTGAAAAATGTTTCAGCTTTAGAAAAATTGCTGAAAAGTTGTACTGTGCAGAACCATTCTAGAATATTATTGTCCTCTACAGTTAGTGAATTTTTACAAGTTTGTTCAGGGTTTTTTTTTTTTACATTTAGCACACTGGGCACCTTTGTCTCACTCTAGTTTATATATTTGACTCAGCAAGGGAAAGCTAATCAGCATATTCTACACAGTTCAGCATTTACTGAACATTGTTACCAGCTGGTTTTATGCTCTGAGTAACAGACTTAATTAACAGCTAAACCTGTCCTTTTGAAGGGATGTGTGATCACTGCAGCGATCCAGAACTTTCAAATAGATGAATAGTATTTGGATCCATGCAGCCTGTCAAATATGCATTACTGAAGTATATCAATATAGTTATATTTGAGCAAATCCTTTTGATTAATAGAAAACTAAGAAGAAACATTGCTTACCTGGGCACTCACAGCCTCCACCTTTGGCTCTATTTGCCACAGCTGCTGCATAAGATCGTGCATCTAAGATCAAAAGCTTCTGAGGCTGTATTGCCAAACTCTCTGCTCCTGAAGCATTAGAGATTGAGGAATCTGGGGAAGAGGATATGAAACTGATGAGTAACTAAAAAGGATATTTCTGATATTGCTTGCACCAATGATTCATATTCAAGCCCCACAATGCATATGCACTGCACATGCAAAAATTGGAGGATGCTTGATTAAATACAAAGGATTGGATCTCTTACAGTACATACAAGAGCTTTTATATAAAGCTCTGCCCTTTACAGAAAAAGAACAGTGACAAACTTACCAAATTCCACGTCAGAGAGGTCTCCTCCGTTGGAGAAATCTCTGGAACAATTTCCATTCATTAATTTGTTACTGTTGGACCTCGAATCTGAGGCACAGGCTTTGGCAACAGACTGGACAAGGTGTTCATCATCTGCATTCCTCCAGCCCCACCAACTGACCTCAGGCTGTCCACAGCGGGAAATAACTGCTCCATTGCTCTGGTGCCTGAAAAAGAAAAGAATAAAAAGAACAGTGGTGCATGACGTGAAGAATCAGCAGGAAAAACATAGAGGCCATGAAAAATTAAACGGTGCACTCCAGTAGTTTAATTTTCACTGGGGATCTCTCTACCTTTAAGCATTTATCTTCAACCTGTGATTCATTGGCAATGTATTCCACATGCTTCCCTTCAAAATGCTGACTGCAACCCACAGTCACTGAAAGGTAGAAGTCAAAGCCGAGGTCAGTAAGAGAAAACAATGCATTTTCTTGCTCAGTATTGTAGCCTGTTGGCCGGTAAAAGCTGGGGAACATTCTGGAACTGCAGATGAGGCATTAAAGAGGTATTCAACACCTGCTGGCTAGTCAGGTCTACTGCTGTAATACCAGTGTAAATAGGAAAGTTCAATTTAACTCATGCTAATCTTAAAGGGAGTAAAACCACAGATTATTTTTTTGATGAGATTTTAAAAATCAAAAAATACCACTAATTACATCTGAAGAATGTTATGATTTTGGTAGGAAATACTGGCAGAATGTGGCACACCTTCTGTCTGATGATGTCTAATGGTAAGCCAAACCCTTACTCATGTAGTACATTGATGGTATCCATTTCTAGGCATCACCTAGAAATCACAGGAGGCAGCCCTTGAACACTGCAGAACCGTATCTAGAAGCCCATATATTGCAGGCATTGTTTAACAAAAAGGATGCTAAACATCTGCAGTTTTACTCATTCTGAAGTTTGGTATTAGCATCTGTTGGAAAGGAGTAGCTCTAGCATCCCCTTTTCAAGCTTCTCCTCTATGTGGGGGTCTTCTCCATCCCCCTCCTAGAACCTCTCTGGGTGGTGTTTCACCTGCTGCCTTCAAACATGGATCACATCTAGCAGAAGAGCACCAAAGAGCTGTTGAAGAGCAACAGCAGCTCTTAGTTGTAAACACCAGTGTGGTGCCAGTCATAAATAACAAAGTCCACAAGCAAGTAACTCTTGCTACAGACAGCTAAGTAGCACTAAAAAAAGGATATATTGTTTATTAACAGAATTTTTTTCTTCTAAAACATGATAGAAATTGCAAGCACTCTATATACTGATAAAACTTCAGAGGAGTGGCAAATGGAGCAGAGAGATGAGTCTATCAATAAAAAAATATGTCAAGGAGATAACTGAAGAATGACCTAACTTGACCATAGATATCTTCTCAATGGTCCAAGTCTTGAAGACATACGTAATCTTAAAGACAGAAATTAATTTTTTAGACCTTTTACTCCTTTGTTGAGCTTTTGAGCTACCTTCTTGTACTACACATAAAAAATTGATTAAAGCATATCCAACCATTGCAAGTATACTTTAAAAAAGATTAAAAAAACTCTCCCTGTAATCTATTATAAAGAAAGAGTACTGAAACATATTATCATTGTAATTTCACTTACTGCCTCCACACTGGTACATCCCACTGCTGCCAACAGAAATGTAATTCCTCATTCACTGAAGTGTTTACATCTGGAATTAACAATGCTCTCCTTGACTTTCACTAGCAGTACCCTGAATTCAGAGGACCTCAGCCACAGCAGGAGGTCAGCCATCAGTAGGTAAGTAGAAGCCCAGCTGTCAGTAAGAGGAGCTGCAGGTGGAGTGGCCGAAGCAGAGACACAACTTCTCTCAGGCCACATGGCAAGTCAACAATGCTGAGGAATGGGACACCTAGAAAAGTTTACTCTCTACCTCATGTCACATCTGAAATACCCTACCACTTACCCACACACTGCTGTTCTCCATTTGAGTGGCCTGCAGATACACATCCCTTTAAGCAAAGGTGCTTCTAGGCGATGCCGTTCTTGCTCCGGAGAGCCACCAGAACCCCGTATTTATAAAGAAGGCACACGCCAATTACAGTTTCTATATGTTACAATGCAACAAAGGATTTCAGAGTCTTCCTGCAAACAAACTGGCCATGTCAGCTTCAATTCAACCAAGAGTTGTTTAATTCTCTCTAATAAGACACAGAATGGTGAGGGTCAGCTGAATCTTTAAGCAAACTAAGAATTCAACTTGGACAGCCCTGAACAGGAATAAAGCCTGCCCAAACCTGTAAATCTTAACTTTTTTTGCTCTTGCCACTCTAATAAATGTTTATGGAGGTGCGACAAGCTGGTTTATGATTTGTTTTCAGAGCTGTCAAGGCCCCGTCAGGTGCTGGGCAGCACCACCTCTGCAGTGTCACTGCAGGGCACAGCAGGAGGCGGCAGTGGCTGCCTTGTGCTACTCATTCAAAAGCAACACTTACATCGGGTTAAGGCTCCCTGTTGCAAAACTTCAAATTATAAAATAGGTTGTGATATGGTATTTTAAGTATTTTTCATAGCTCTTTTGTAACTGTTTCATATAAAATTCCTTCACCAAAAGGAAGCAACTGACATACCGCATTAACTGAACCAAAGGAAACACAATCTGAATGCCATGGCACTTACACCAGGTGCCAACTGACTGCATGCAAAGGAATACGTATTTCTGCTGAAATGAATAGCCTTCCAGAAACAGCTCTATTGATATCAAATTAGTTCAGAAAAAAAGAGACCACCTAGTTCCCTGCTATGCTTGCACAAATAACAAAAGAAAATAGAACATCATTATACACGTAAGAAATCTATTTTGAACACTTGGATAAGCTCATTTATTTTTCCGTATGTTCTCCCAGATTTCATTACTACCTGCCAGTGGAATCATTTTCATAGCTTCATAAACAGTTATATTTTCATCTCCAAGTTCCTGGCTTCCATTTATACCACAAATAATAAAGAATCATTAGGCCAAAAGTTGAGTTCATTGGTATCTGTGAAGCCCTAACACTCCTAAGCCTCCACAAATATGCAATGTTCAGATGTACCAGCAGAAATCAGCAAACAATTCTATTTACGGTAATGTTGGAGGTCTAAGGAATCATACTCATTCCAACTGGACTGGCCATGGGAACGAAAAACAGCAAATAGTTCAAGTGTGATTCTGAGGTCCCTAGAGATAGAGCTGGGGATAAGATGGTGTCACTCAGATCTCAGCAACGAAAAAAAGATTAAAAAAAATTTAAGCAAACCCACCACTGAAAATTTCCTAACCCTCTAGAGACAAAGCAACATGCAGCCTCCCTGCAGAAACAAAATAGTAAATCACCATTAGATAACCATAAAGCCCTTTATAAAGCACTGTATAACTGTGATGTACGGTACACCTCTGCACATGCTTAATCTTCCTTGTGTTCAAGCAACCTTTTGAGTACAACAATAAATCCACCAAGTCCTTGTAACTGCAAAGACAGGGAGGACTAATGAAGGTTTGAATAGCTCCCTCCCCAGCATTACTTAACTATTGGTACTTGCAACTGAAAAAAATCATTGCTGCAATTCACAAAGATAATTTAGCAATCATGGTACATGGCAATCTTCTGTTTACCTTTGCTTCCTGTGCTGGCAGAAACGTTGCCTGCACGGGTAATCATCCTTCAGCAGCCAGCAAGACAAAAAGACGCCTTCAACACAGATAATTTGCAAGTAGGTTCTCATGAGTTTAAGATGCTGTTTATATAACATACAAAGTCCTCTCTATCGTCTTGCCACAAGATCTAAAAAGGCTTCTCCCTAACACTGATATTCTGGGACCAAAACAGATAAGCTACAAAAACCATGTTACAGGCCAGATTTATCTATGTAAATATGTGCCTAGATTAAAAAAAAAGAAACAAACCCAAACCCAAAAACACGCTATGTAAATATATGCCTAGATTTTAAAAAATTGTAACCACAGAGAAAAGACGCAGAAGCAGAGTGTGAGATTTTTCTAGAAATCTGATCATAAAATAGAAGCAATGTTCCTGACAGTCCAATCTCAACTTGAGTATTTCTGAAGCTTGCCTCTGAATTCAGCCCGCTCAGCTTTTCAGCCTGTTCATACTGTCATAGCTCTTGAATGCTTTACAACAACAGACAATGAGTTTTTTGTTACCAAGTTCCTGTGTCTCTCATCTCTCTCTGTCCCAGTGTTTAGTATCTGAGACAAATTATTGGATAAATGTTTAAAAAATCATTATTACATTTCTTTCCCCTGAGGTAAAGCAAAAAGAGCAGATTTTTTTTAATGTGATCAGTAATGAAACTAGTAGTCCCAAAAACATCTTCAACAGGCAAGAAATGCTGAATGAGCTTTTGTCCCGTACCCAAAAATAAGTAAAAAGCCAGTTTTATGGCAACTTATATAGAGAGAAAAATATACGTGGATTTCCAATCACACGGATCATCAACCACTAGCTGATGTGAGTTCTATTAGAGTACAGAATGATGAACTGGATACCTTGAAAAATCTATTACTAGATGTCAAGATAAGGAAAAAGAGGAATCAAAAAAGAGAAGAATGTTTCTCCCACTGATTTTAAGATTACAAATGAAAAACTATGTGGTAATTTAACATACATAGTCTCATGAGAACTGCAGAGAATCGAATGCCAGGGATTAAACAATTTCAGTCTATGAGGACTTTTGTACATTTAAATCACTCCCCCATAACTTCCCCAGAAGGCAAGTTGTACTCAAGAATGCAAAGGAAGTGATTTTCTTCTCCTGTATAGTGATGAAAGGAGGGGGGATGCTTCCCTGGGTTAAGCAAGCTTGCAGGTGAGGTGTCCCCCAATTATGTGACGACTGCATAAAAGGCACAAAATGGCTTGAAATGCAGCGTTCAAAGTTGAACACAAAACCGCATATCAATTACACCCTCTTTTATACATATATATAATACACATTTTTATGTACTACCATAATAATAAAAAACCTTAAGTCTTAAAAAATTAGCATATGATGGAAAGCACTTTTCCCCCCTCAAAGAGCTGAACAGAGGATGGGGCAATTCCTTAACATTCAGAAAAAGATTGTGCTAACCCCTTTATTATTTGGAATAAAAAGGAGAAAAGACAGGAGGATTTAAAGATAATGGTCTGCTGCCACCAGCTAATTTGTTCTCCCTTCAATAGCTCTTCAAGAACAAGAACTCTTAAGCTAGGTAAATAACGTTTTGCGGCCCACTCTTAACTCCTGTATGCTTGCTCCTCCGATCCAGGCCGTGCGAATTTGTCAGATTTAATGCTCTCTAAATTTAGCTTGCCACTCAGAGAACAGCTTTCCTTTCTGTCTGTTTAGAGGTAATGGGTGGCTAGGCAGACTTAATGGAATTATCAAGTATTCATTATCTTTTTAATCCCTTTGTCATCTGATTTTTTGAAGAGATTTTAAACATTTACAGGAGGATAACTACCCCAGGAAAATGGCCAAGGTATTAAATGACAGGTTCCAGAATATTTGGGGAAAAAAAACCCAACACAAACAGACACTGAAATATATTTCTTAGTAAAGAACTGCCAAAAACAGTCTCTCAGAAAAGCAATATTGTTATGAAGAATTGCTGGAGTCAATCTAAGGAAGAGATGGATGGACTAAAACTACCTAAAATATCTAGAGAGCTAGCATGTACATTCTTTTGTAATGTGAGTTTTTATCTCCCTTAAATAATTTTGGTATTTGTCCTTGTTTATACTGCAGTCTGAGTGTTAGCCAGATGACAATTAGAGAAAAATCAAAGGAGCACCTAGCCAGAGATGCCATTTATCATTTCCTCTGCAGCTTTGATGTCTTCATCTTACATTTTTTCATTTTCATATTAAAAAAAATAAAATCAATCTTAACAGAGGTGACTACCCTAGGAATGACTTGCAGGAGATGCAAATGCTGAGTGCTCCTACAATATGTGTTTGGAATTAAAAGATACAAACCATTATTCCCACTCAGAATGTGAATGTGTAGTCAGTCTGCCTTACCTCACTTAAGGCTTGACAAGGGCCAATGTGTGCTGCTGGCACACATTCTTGAGTTTTGAATAGGTATAAACCAATACATACAGAAGTAGCAAATACAAAGACCCCAAGCTATCAGGCCTAACAGGTCATACTTTGCTGTCAGTTAAATATAGGTCTGAATGCTTTCTCATGAGAGGGGTTCCCTGTCATCCTTGTTCAGTATCTAAAACCTTAAGGTGGTTTGTGTTTTGTTCCAAGGTCCTGTTCCCCACACCACTTCTGGGATCCCTCTGTCTGGAGTGGAACAGCAGGACCTCACCCCAGCCAGAGTCCCAGCGTGGATCAGCTTACGTACCACTCCACCACGCAGCACAGAGGAGACTGCACCAGGTTTTGTTGCCTCTTCCCAGCCTAGTTCTCCAACTCTACCTTAGCAGGTCCTGCGCCTTCACAGAGCATCCCTCCACATCATGTTATACATGGAAAAATACAGCAAGATGTAAGCCAGGCTGCTCTTTACTTTGAATAAATTATATTCTTTTAAAATACCTTTAACACTTTTGCTAAAGTCTGTCAGGCTCAGTGAGGGGACATCTAGGGCCCAGAACACCTTTCATTACAAGCCAAGCTTCCCAGTCACAACTTATTTCAGCTTTTATTTGCTAGGACACCACATTTACACCCCGCTGAAACCTGTTCCACCTCCAAGAGCCTCACCTGTACACAACAGCAGGGATGCGCTTCCAGGACCGAAAACTTGCCACACTCTCTAGCTCTTTATCCGTGATCCAGGCAGGAACTATGATTTCCTGGGGGTAACTACCACAGAGCCTGTGAGAAAAGAGGTGCAAAGGGTCGAATGTAAGTGATACAGAGCAGTTAAACACTTCCCAGACAATACACACAAATAAGCAGTATAAGCAACCTGACTGCTGTTCATCTCAGCAAACTGCCATTTTGTTAATTCCCATTTCATTGTATGTTAATAAACTCCTCCTTCAACTACACAAAAGCACTGTGAACATCAAGGTGCATAAATGCATTTCAGAATTAGAAGATTCAAGCTGGTGCTTTCTCAGGAAATTCACATGTAGGTGTTTTTTAACTCCAGCTGCTGAAATAAACTGGACCACAGAAAAGAAATTCCACACCTCTCCATGCTAAAGTAACAGAAGCAGAGCCACCCTGGGCTACTGGATACAGGACAGAAATCTTGTGTAAGTGTGGAAAAAGTCCACTGGCTAATCAACCCTCGCTGAAGGCAGGAATCTGAGTGCAGTGGATTATATCTGACTAACTGGTACTTTCTTCTACTAGATGCACCTCCTACTCCACTACTTAATAGAGCCATGACTGCCAATGAGAACAGGGCAAGCAGCCAGTAGTGACTGCAGTATATTGTTGAATCATAAACTAGTTCATACCCAGTCCACCCCCTTAAAGAGATGCATTTATTGCACAAGAAGGACAGACATGAACACGTGTCTAAGACTCTTCCATTCAGAAAAATGTATCAAATATCCTGAAAAAATGCTCTTTCCTCAAGTGCTGGCCACAAGAAAGAAAGTTGTCTGTGTCATTCTGCTTCCATATGACATGTAAACTTTTTTTCCTTTTTCTTCAGTATTAAGTATGTACAGGATAGCTATTTTTTTTCCCTACATTTTTAGAGACCAAGACAGCTATTCTTCTTGCAGTGACACCAACCACCAGCTGCAAGTCATTATCCTGCAAAGAAAGAGCAATGAAACATGTTTCATCACAAAGTGTAACTGCTGGTTTTGCTCTGAATTGGATTAGGGATCAGCCAGTCCACGCTGCCCTACCAGCCCCAAATAGAGGAACACCTTCCTCTGCTCCAGCAGCTAGAGAAGAGGACATTTGTCTATGCTTTCAGGACCACAGGAAGTGTTTTCTCTTATTTTCAGGATCTACAAGCTTAACTCTTCCAAACCACTTTTTTTTTTTTTTTTAAATACAAGTCTTTGTCATAAGTTAAGAATTAAAACACAATAAAAAATGGTTTTTAAAAGTTCAATCAAACCACTCTTTGCTCACTTAAGGCTTTAATTTCTTCCATTAGAAAGCTTATTCTCTAAGAAGTCCTCCAGCAAGCACATCAAAATCTGTTATTTCTAAGCCTATAAAAATTGTAACAGCTAATACATTAAACTTTAAGAGCACATTTTTTTCTATAGAACAAAAAAATTCCTAATTCTCATTGTCCCTTATGAGGAACTGTAGAACTTGAAAAAAGTTCCAGTAATATGCTACAACAAAATTGGTTTTGAGATGTCATTTGGCTGTGAATCAGCAGCCCACATAACTTACTTGTACTTCTCATTGATGTTGGAAATCCTCCAGGCATTGTTCATATCAAAACCCATCCGTTCCACTTCATTTTTAAATCTTGAAGTTACATGTTCTCCTGGGTATCAAAAGCAGAGAGAGAAAATAAATGCGAAACCAGTAGTAAGAGTCTTACCTTTCAAAATAGTTAGAGAAAAACATCACTGCACTAATTAAAAACTGGAAAAAAAAATAAAAGGAACAGTCCAGAACCACAGCTTGTACCCTGGTTCATTCTCCAGAAATGTCAAAGTCCATCAAGGGCTTTTTCTCTGAAATGACCAGCTTCTGTAAATTCATGTAAGAAAGAATAATGCTGCAGACCGGAACCAAGTACATCAGCAAAAGCAATTTAGATCCATCAGCAGTTTTACTGGGAAAATGCTAGTAATTTTTCTTTTCTGAAGTTCAGAAGAATTTTGTATCAATGAGAAGGTGAAGCTCTGGTCTGACCAATACTTGAAGGGGTAATATATGGAATGTGGTCTGGAACTTGGGTGATCTCCATTTAGTATTTAATTTCAGCCACAGGTTTCCGGTATGACTGTAGGAAAGCCCTGTAATTTAACCTTCATCTTAGTTTTCCATCTGTAAATTGGACGTTACTCCTCCGCAAGTCATGTGGAGATATGAAGATAAATGCATGAATGACTGTTTGGCACAAATATCAGTCACAAGATTCTCACAAATTCCTGGGTTAATATATTAAAGGAATTGGAATGAGCTCCATTTATTTTCTAAACGCTTTTGTAAAAGTATCAAAATACAACTGAAAAATATACAACGGCAATAAAGAATACTTATTCTGACAGACAGAAAGTCTAGAGAATTAGAAGGTACTCAATCAATATGTAAAGAGAACAACGTACAAAATTTCCAGGTTCAGAGCTACAAAATGTGATAAATTTAACGAGCATGTGAGCAACACGAGATAAAAAGATTCTGAAAGTCTGTCCATTACTTGTCTCTTTAAATTACTGTATCGTTAAATCATGAGGCAGAGCATCACCCAACAGGGGAAAAAAAAAATCTGTTGAAAAATTAATGATTTAAATATTACATCTTTCCATTATATATTACAGAAAAGCCCTAAAGTTTTTCAATACCCAAGACATATGTAGATACATATTTATGTCAAAGATGTAAATGTACAAGTCTAAAACAATTTTTTTATGTGATGTTACAGAACAATGAGAGATAAATATAGAGAAATAGCTAAATTAAGAATAAATATAGCAGCGTAACTACAGGACTTAACCGTGAAAGAAAAGCTGTAATGTTATTCGTTCCTACCGGTCAGATCATACACTGAAAATGGTACTTTGCAAATCCAGACATGCTTTACAATATGGACAATGTGCAAGAGATCTGTATAATGAGTTTATTTTTCCTACACTTTTTGAAAGGTAAAATGTGAGAATGACACTGTGTGCAAATGGAGAACATTCATTCTTTAAGGCACATGGTGGTAAAATCTATGGACCTGAGGGACCTTCATCACTTCTTCCCCTTACATTATGCCACTGGTACAACAGTACCATAAAAAAGAAATAGTTCTGCCTCCCGTGTCATGCATTTTATGCAGAAGGCTAGTCTCAGTATTACACAGGCACTGTAGTTCTGCTCTACCTTCCCTATCACCAGTTCAGTTAGACTGGAGCTTGCCAACAATTTCCCGCTTCTCACATGAACTCTGCATGAGCTTGAATTTATTATCTTCTAGCCACCTACTCAAATGTATCAGCTGCTCAAGTCCCTGTTTTACAAAAGCTGGAGAGATGGCAGCTATGTGAGGAGCCCTCTGATCTTGTCAAGTGCAGCGGTGAAACTGGGACAATACATTCCAGCCAGACAACAACCTCTGTCATGTTCTTCCTTAGCAGTGACTTTTTCTTTTTTTTTTTTAAAAATCCTTTTATTGGAACAGCAGCATGCTCTTGCAGCACATGAGGATGGGGTTCATTATCAGGTGCTTTGAGGAATGGCCATTAAAACTCAGGATACATGCTTAAGGATTTTTCTGGATAGCAAATGATAATACCAGAAATATTCCCAATCATCAGTGCTGCATACTGCTAGTGGGTTTTAAGAAAAACACCTACAACTATATGAAAATGCAATATTCTGTTTGATTTCTCCCTCTTAATTTTTTAGCTACTGTGGATGTCATGAAATCATACATTATCCTCTGAGAAATTAAACCCTAGCCATAACATTTTGTCTGTTCCTCATGAAACACTGATATTTTAAGAGGCATTTTGAGCCAAGATGGATAATATTTTTGAAGCATCCCTATCAACTCTCAAAATCAGAGAAAAAGCAAGCCATACATTCTGTGGACTTAAGCCTTCTGACTATAAAAGCTGATCTTGTGAGCCACAGTTAACATCTCCCATTACATACGCTGATAACAATTTACATTTTTTCCCCAGAAGTTGATACTTAGATAGATTTTGAAGCAATTCAGTATTTTTGTCTGTATTGACCAAATATTGGGCTCCTTGGATGTAAAAAAATAAATTATAATGTCTTTGGATTCACTTCTTCAATTACATAATTACATTCCCATTGATTTATTTCAACTATACTTCAGCTCTTAGGAGAATGCCTACCACCAGAAAAAAAGCAAGTTACACGGAAGAAAAAGTTCCTACATTAAAAAAAAGTTGATAGACACACCTACAAGGAAAAAAAATGATTGCTAAAAGCTAATTAAAAGGTAAATGCTGCTTCTCATTCCTAACCTTGTGTTAGGGTGAAGCTCATCTGTTTCAGTGAGGAAAAAGACTAGAAGACTTCACAATCCATCTACATGTCTGCTACCATCCAGTTCCTGAATTCAAGTAGGAGGGAAAAGACCTGGGTTTCAAATTCTGCACTGAGGATTTGTTTGCCTTTTTTCAGTAACTGCTAACCTAAGTGCAGCAACCAGAACTAGAAACACAGAGCACCTCCTACTTGCACACTACCTGTGGACTGCTCCTCCGCAGGCACCAAAGAGACTGTAGTCTTTGGTCCGCCCCAGACCAGCTTCAGTAATAAGGACAGAATCACACTAACACTCCTCAACCTCATAACTGGGAAACTTTTCCCAGCAAGGTGAGTCATGAGTGAATTGTGAGTGGAGAGGACTTGGAACCCAGATTTCCTTGTATTTAAACAAGTGCTATAAGCACCAGCATCCCAATTTTTGGATTTTATTTACTTGTGGGCTTCTAAAACTTTCCAGCAAGGATGGTATTTCACTAAAATACGTCATTGTCTTGCATCTGTGAATGAACCTCAGGAACAGCTTTGGGACTTCCTTCTCCTTCACCTCCTGCTCTTCAACATCCATGTTGAAGACTACTGCTCTAGGCAATTGCAAAAATGTGGGCAGAATCAATACAAAACATTTTAGATTGAAAGTTGGTGCCACAGTGAGCAAATTATTATTAGTATCATACATGACTGATTAAATTAAATCCACCACAATAATTTCCTCAGGACGTTCAGAGACTGCTTTGCATATTGACCCCAAAGTAGCTATGGTGGGAGCTAATGTCTCCTTGGTTCAGCCTAAACACAACTCAGTGTGGCAGACATGCAATACATTAAAGGACACATTGCTCTAAGTGAAGGTATAAATTACCACATATGCTATGTTCACCAGCTAGTGAAGAAGTACAAGAACTTATGTACAAAAAAAATTTCCATACTGGAATATTCCAGGTTCAGTTTTCAACAGCACAGACTGAATTTGTTTATAACTTTTTTTTTTAAAGTTCTGGATTTCAGCAGTTACCAGTCAGCACATTTGTGATGATCCCTCAAGTGTCTCCACGTACCTGGCCGACACAAATCCCCGTGCTGTTCCTTTTCACTAGCATAGACCTCCATACACCAAGCATGATAGGCAAATGAGAAAAGGTCTTCTATCTTTGAAGGAGGGCGGATGGCATTGTTCAGTCGCTTAAGCCAATCTTGACACTGCTCAAAAGTAGAAAACTGACACCTGTCCCAGAAACAAACATTTACTGATCAACTTTCAGTAAAAGATGCCAGACTACAAGATCTAACAGGCTGACTATGAAAACATCCATGGAAGCAAGAAATGAGAACATCTTAGTGATAACTTAGTTCTGCTTCCATTTACGTTCTATTATAATGGAGAGTAAAAATGAAATCTTTGGATATTAGTAAAGAAATACACACTCAGGAAGCAATGTTCTGTGACTGTGAATAAACCAGCAGTATGCCCTACCAGTCATGAATGAGGAAGACATTTATGCATACATTCATTATAAAAACCACGGACAACATCACTGAGTTCAGACTGAAAGTTTCACACAATCAAATACAGGAATGTGTTACAGGGACTTGCTGACTGGTGGTCTCACACGGAACCTCACAGAACCATCACATACATTATAATCTATGCATCGTATTCTTGTAAACATGAACACATTTTTCATCAGACACAGGAAAAATATCTATTTGATTAATATACTTAATTTGAGAATAATGAGGACAAACTCCAGTATCTGCAATCCTGCATTATTCCCCTATCTCACATGTTAAGATCCTCCTTCTGGCCTTGGTGGAAAGCACAGTGTTTTTGAAAGTGAGCTTTGCCTAACATTATGGACTGACAACAACCACCAGTGAGAAAATTCTTTGCACAGGAGAAACTAATCTTCAGAGCAGTATATTAAAATTACATTAGCTTGTCTTTTCAGAGAGGATTCCTGTACCTTTAGGATAAAAGGATGGAAGAAAGATCAGTGATTTATTTTTGCTCTGATAGATTTCTTCAAGATTTTATCATTATCAAATATTCACCAAGTATTTACATTAAGCCCAGTCTGTGTTCTACTACACTCATAGTTAATGACAGCATCTGTATTCTCTAAGGGCAGGATTTATTACCCTTACCTGCAAATATCTTAAAGTCAGTCAGTGGAAGGAAAAAGACATGTCCAACCCATGAAACGTGTCTAAATAGCTGTGAGGAACTGCAGCCTGGAGGTCTTTATTTCCCATCACTGAGTATAAAGCAAGCCAAGACTACTATCTTAGATGAGATAATTCTCTATTAAATATCCAGAGTCAGACAAGATACATCTCATCCTTAAGATCCCATTTTCTTTCTAAATTCGTTTAAAGTTAAGTGTTGCAAATAACAAGTACTCTCTTCACTTGGGCCCTATTATTCAAAATACACGCTACCTTGTTCATGAAAAAGAACACGAACATTTTCTAAATCCAGTATCTCTGCCCCATACTTCATGATCTTCCAACTGCCAGTGTCACCAAGTACTGATTCTCAGAGATGCAATTTTGAAGGGCAATTCATAAAGGGCATAAATACAAATAATTTGTATTCATTCTACAATTGAAGACAAATAACAAATTAATGTAGAGAGGAAGGGTGACTTTTTTAAATGTCAAGAGCTACAAGTTAAGAGGAAGTTAAATATTTAATTCAAATTAAACTAAATATTACCTCTAAAGTAAAATCAGTCCTCATCAAAATACACCATTTCAGGAAGCAGCTGGCCTGTTAAACATTCTGAGTGCTTAGATATGACTGGGGCTCATTTCATTATACAAAAGGTACTGCCAGCAAACATTTAATCAAAAAGAAATGTTCCTTTCTTGTTAATTAAAGTTTATAGATCAAAATTCATTTCTGCAGCAGAAAAGTAGGAAATAGCTGTAGCTCAGGTTCAGTAACTCAGAGACTCCTGGGGCAGACTCTGAAGTCTGCTGAAGGACAGACATAAATAAATCCTCCCTTCTACATGATGCTCTCTACTGTGTTACAGAGTGGGTTGCAAACCTGGCTTTACCTTCCTTTTACAACAGGCTACTATGTCTTAAGGACAGCAGCTGTACCCTCACAGCTCTTAAAAATACAGGGTGAATGATGCTACCCCCGACTGAAGGTTTCACATTGAACTGCTCAAGCCCACCTTGTGCAGATGAACCTTAACCCTCTGAACCCCAAATCTTGATTAAACACCCTTCCAGGAAGTATGCGTTTCAGTGGTTCTATCTAGTTCTGCATCTTGTAACTAATTAAAGCTTATATTATAACTGATTGTAAGGCAGGGAAAACTCGTGAGAATAAAATTAATTTCAGAATAAAATCAAGATTAGCCACTTAGGCTCAGGCCAAGGTTTGCTGCTACACTGTACCATAGCAAGCAAGAATGCAGACCAACTTGCTCCCATCCTCTTTACAAAAATGCCCAGCTATCACACATGAAATCAGACAAAAGAAAATCTTTGAGGGAAAGCAAGTCCACTAAGGAAGAAAAAACATTTCCTTAAAACATTACAGCTGTCCACATCATATGGAAAGCAAAGTTACCCCCATTCAACATTCAGCCTATTCATACCTTATAACCTTGCAGTCTTTGCAAGTCAAATGAAGTTGAAATATATCACGGCACTCAACACTTTCTATAAGCTGCAATGGAACCTGCAATTAAAAAGATTATATAATTTCATTTCAAACGGTACTAACATTGTAATTTCTTTGCATATCTCACAAGGGTTTATTATAGGACTACATGGAATCTGAAAAGACGGAGATAAAAACAAAGAAAAAGCAAGTATAGCTCCTTCGACAGCTCTGAAGCACAGTACCATACATCAAGTAGTTTCAGCTCCACGACTGTACAGTCCAAAAACCTTAAGGGATCACATGAAAACAGCCGAGAAGATGGCAGTACTAGTGACAAATGTGAAGGCAGGAAAAGCAGCAGAAATGCACAAGCTCCCCTCTATGAAAGCATTTTTCTCTCTTATAGGTCCAAAGTTTAGGGATCTTGGGAATATCATTTTAGCTGTTGGTGTTAAAAATTAACCTCTAAGCCAGATCCCCCTTAACAGACTGTTGCAGTCTAAACGCTTTTATATGGAAATATCCCCCATTTCCTCTTCAGGGAAAAAACAACACTCATGATCAAAGCAGCCATATTTACAGTAATAATGCTGAATCATTAATTTTAAAAGGTGTAGTTATATGCACTTGTTTTATGGCACATGTAACTAGCAGAAGCTTGAACACGTAAGCACCTTTAAAGATAAGCAGAAACCACAAGATGAAAATATTAGTTTTCATTAATATTTTAGGACCTTTACCCGAGACAGGCAAATCTGTGTCATTAGCTTAAATGAATAAAAGTTAATATTCAACTACCTCATACATAAATGTCTAAATTCCAGACACAGAGTTTTAGCTACTGTAATAAAGTGTAAAACTGTTTGAATTGTTTATTAGATTATACTCAATATTACACAAGGCAACAAAACCTCTCTCATTGAGATCCTTCAATACAAAGGCTAGAAGAGAAATATTCAAATACTCTGTTACCTTCTTTTGCCACCAGAGGAGTATGATCCAGCAGTTTAAGTTCTGCCTTGGGGCTTACAAGATGTGGCTGTAAGACCCTGCTCTGCCAATGCCTTTCCATATGACTCTGGGCAAGTCCTTGAAGGTCACCTCCAATCAAGGATCTGGGCTGAGGAATCAAGATAGCTTCTACTCAGGCACCACAAAGCTTAAAAAGTACCTGATTTCAGTGAAATGAAAAAAGGAAAGGGAACTAAAAACAGCAGGAAAGGGCAAGAGGTGTCTCAGAAATATGAACCACAAGAAAACTTACTTTGAGCATGAAGATGCCTAGTGAAAGCTAGTGGCAAATGCGCCCAGGGGAGTGATCAACACTCCTGTGTCTCTCGGGAAGGCAGGCACACAGCTCCCAGCTACACCTCATGTTTCTCTGCCAACTCAAAAGTCAGAGTCCAAAGTCCTTTTCTGAATGCGAAAGCATTGCCCAGAGCTCACAATCCCCAAAATACAACAGGCAGGTGTTGTCTTAATACTCTAACTTTATCCTTGCCCCCACCAGACCACAACCAAGAAGCAGTGCTGGACTCTCCTTAGCTTGGAGAAAGTACTAACCCTCATCTCCCATGACCAGTGAGGCTGGTACAGGTAAGTTAATTCTTTGTTCCATCAAAGAACAGAAAATTCATGCACAAGTAGACTTGACAGCCCAGTAGTTTGAATATTCAAATAAAGCTGGAACTTTAATTTTGGTCCATATTTTCAGTATTATTACTGTTTTAAGATCTATGATAGTCTGATATAAATTACCTAGCTAGCAACATGAAGGGGCACATGAAATGAGGATTCCACCCTGCAAGATAAGCTCCTTCTTTATTTGCTATCCTTAAGCTCAACCCGACTGCAGTCACCTGCAGAGAGTATTTAGATACCAATGTAACAGGTATTTAAATGCATTAGGGACAAGATCAGATGTACTGTTGCTATAAGTTAATATTTTTATTTTAACTGCTAATTTCTTCCATGCCTTTTCCTACTTGATCCTACTCTGCAAGATAAGTTGTTGTGATAGTTTTGTCTAATAAATTAAGGGACTGAATGGACCTGACTGGAGAATCTTCCATTCTTTCTTCCCAACTGGACAGCCTCACAAACACCCAATGAATTATTTAAATCTACCACTGACTTCGGTGACACCAACATGGAAAGTAACCTTTCCCCAGTTAAAAGAGTTAAGACTCTAGAAGACTTGCTTTTTTTAGTCAAATGCAGCTTTTTCTGTTAATATTCTTTTTTTTTTCCCCAAGCCCTCTCTTACTGCATTTTTTCCCATGTCCATCTTCATTTAAGCAGTTCTTCACCTTGCTCCCTTCCTCCTAGCAGTCTGGTTCTGGATACTCCTGCCTACACTCTAATGACATACTAAGTATTTTTCTACTCCTGCATTGTTTTTTAATTTTCTTCCTTCAAAGTCGCTCTTTGTTCTATGACCTTTCAATTTGCCCTCTGCTAAATAGCCATTCTTTTTTCTCTTGACAGTCTACTTGCAGCTCACCATCTATTTCCTTAGAATCTGCCGGTTTTTCTTCAGGGCAAACTTCGTATCAATCTTTTTAACTTTCTTTTCCGGTCATAAAAATCTGTCCTCTGATCTTCTTGCATTTTCAGTCTCCTTCCTGTCCATTATTCTTCTCCCAGTAAAATTGTGTAAAATTATCTGCCTTCATTCCCCATTATTTCCCACTGATAACCTTCCATTTTCATTATGTTTTTCAGGCTGATGCATGCAGCAAGTCTGACACCCAGTGCAGTTAGCTTGTTCTTGAAAGAGCCATCAATTCTATTTGCAGGCACTTCACCATATAATAATGGCTATCACAATGAAGCGGTGGAGAAGCAATAATTTTTGCTTTTATAAGAATAAACATGCATTGTTATCCAAGGCCAATCATATCGCATAATGGAGAGTACTAGAGCAGCGTGCTCTTGCAGTATCTGTCCTTTAACTGTCTCTTCATTAAATTTATCTCATTCCAAACAATATCAACATTCGACAACTCGAACTTTTTCCTTTTGAACTTTTATCATTATTTTAATTACTGTAACTGCCTGTTATCTAACAGCAGTACAAGATATATTTAGAGAAATACACCTCTGTAATTAGAAAAAGCACAAGTTATGTTTACGCTGCTGAAACAACCCACCCATGGCTCAACCCTTGACCACAACGCCAAGCAGTATGCAGTGGACCATGGCCAGGCTGCTCTACGCCAGCCCTTTCACAAGAGACTATGCTATACACTCTACCCCATGTACCACTTGGCCTGACTCTCTCCAGGATACCATGTGGCACACAGGAGCCATGAGCTGTAATTAGTACTTTATTCTTGTTTTCCCAGTTCTGAGTCTGAAATAATGTCAGGGTTATGATACAGACTGGTTACTTTAAACAGCACAAGGCCAAGGCTACGTGCTGTACGTCCTGAAGCATGGGATAATAGGACATGTGGAGGAACTGAGGATGCAAGGTCAGCTCAGAAGGTCTTCGAGGACTCTCCCAGGTGGAGGGAGTCACACCCTCCAGGTGTGTTCTTGTTCATATAACCTACAAGGAGTACCTGAGCCAAATTTTGCTTTTAATTACAACTAATTATACTTAGGTTTTGTCTTGAAGACAATCACTCAGTCCCCCTCTCTGCTTTCACAATTAACATGCAAGCAATGTGAACAATTTGAGCATCAGGAGTTGAGAACAAAACAAGCAGTAAGCTACTGTTCAGCACAGATGAAGCACAGCTGTGCTGCAAATGTAATGAAAATACCAAACCAACCACTTTGCCATTAAAGGCCAAACAAGGGAAAGCTCATACTAAAACTCACCTAATCACCAAGACTGAAAGTCTCCCTCAACTTGCCAGTGTGACACTTTTTTTAATACCGTGTTCAAAATCTACTATGTGAAAGAGGCTACATACAAGTTCATGGTTTCATAAACTACACTAAAATGTTATTTGTCTCATAAATGCAATTAGGTTACAGGGAGAAAAATGTTTAGAGAGAAACACCAGCTGCAAAGTTTGATTTTTCTTAAGGAAAGACAATCAATAGTGATCAGCCTGGGAACCAAACTTCCCATGTGTCCAGAGATCACTGTTGAGTCTGCATTTTTATCCCATGGATAAATGTAAGTCAACACTTTTGAATGTCATAATCCCTTCAATTTATGCATGGTCTGCTGGATCTTTTGTTTTTGCATTTAAAACACCAATGTTCCTGTTACTACTGTGATCTAGGAAATTATCCATCGAAGAGATTTACGCATACAGCCATTTTCTGCAGTGTTGCAATGTGAGCATTAGCAACTTTAAAATGTATTTATTTTCAAGCACAGGTGCAGCAAGTGATCCAGCAGCATTGTGCTACTTACTGAGGTTTCACAAGCATCATTTTGACAGCCAGTCTATTGAATTGTAAACAAAAAGAGAACAGTGAGGTAAAAAAAACAAAGACCAGGAATCCATTTTTAACTGGATTCCATTTCCTTCATGCAGTTGCCTTTACTAAGGGGCAAGTAGTTGACAAGCATCCTGCTTTCTCTGGAGGACCATTTCTACCATGAGAATATCCCACCTACTTCAAGAGGAGATGCCTACACAGAACAGCTGCACATTCAGACACAGGGAATCAATTTGTTTTGTAAGTACTGTAATACAGATATTTGCTAAGAATCCTCTCTTACACAAAAGCAACTCTCTCTGCTGAGGTGACAAGGTCATTAGTGTGGCTGGACTTAGGATAGTGATTCTTATGAAAATCATTCAAAAAAATAGAAAAAACAACTCCTAACATTAGTAAACATACATTTCTAAAAAAGGTCGTCTTACAGGTGTTTTCTAAACAGCCGTAACTATATAAAAACAGTAAGAAAGAATCACGATGAACTCAATCAAAAATTACTCAGTGAAGACTTAATTTAGAAAAATCACCATGTGATCAATAATTTTGATCAACAATAACTGAAGTGATTATCACTGCAGAATTTAACATTTTAAATATGGTTCCTAATTATTGCATCTATGTTTTGTCCTTAAAGAGACTCCAAATCCTGTCTGCCTTGGATTCCAGTACAGTTTAGATTATGTTATTAGTGATGGTCATATATGATTACGGAAGAATACTCTCTATTCTGCTCTACCTCATACACTATCTAATTGAATCTTTCTGGTTAATGATGGGATATGAAGCAGGACTAACAACCTTGGAGACATCAGACAGACCAAGAGGGCAGAATACTAGATAGAAATCAGGGAAGCAAAATTAACATGGTAATACTGACAAAACATTTATGGACTGTTTCCTGAACACAAAGAATATTATTTAAGAAAACACCAGTTCTTGTTACTGCTCAAAAATAATAAACTGAAAATTCTTAAAAATTAATACCCCGAATTATCCTAAGGACAGATATGACAGTAAGTGCAGTACATGCATTAGTGGCTTCTCTAATAAAGTTACTCTCACTTCCTGACATTCCTCAGAACAAACTCTCTATTTCTCATGTCTCAGCAAGTTGTTTTTAAATATTGTCTTGTTTTGTCAATTCTAGTGTCAATTTCATACAACATTCAGACTCTGAATTAAGAAAAAAATCTAACAGTGAGTAATAGAATATATACATTTATTGTAGCAGGCCCCTTGGCAGAATCCAGTCCTAGAATTCATGTTTGTATCACAAAGCAGCAAAGGAATCCTATAAAACACATGCCTTGTAACACATCTTCTCTGTTGCCAGCAGCATGTAGAGATGCATCTGGCTGGACTGCACTCGAGGCATCCCAGCACCCAGCCGACCCCTGGCCACCATTCTGATGTGTGGTGGCACCTACTGCTTAACTTGTAGGCCTCCAGTTGTACTTCAGGATTGACTATACATTAAGAGAAGTGAAAAGTAAAGTTATGTCACCTCTGCATCTGCACATACTTCTATCATCTCCTTTGTAGGGTCAGCAGTGGAAGACAATAGCCCTTAAATTTCCAATTAAATTTTTTGCCATAATTTTGCGTAATTGCCATGTTCAGAAATAATACCTTTATTTGATGAAAAACCCCACATCATCATGAACTTCAGCATTTTAATGCTGTACACAGATGTTCACCAGCCTAGTAGACATGCCTATTCAGCCTACTACATAGACAATTCATGAGCTAAAACAGAACTTGAAGTGATTAATAACTATGACACAGGCACATTTCAAAGTCTGGAGATAACATAACTATATGATTAGAGACAACATAAACCAGTAAAGACTGAGTTTCAGTTAGTACACAACATTTTTAGAGAGTTAATAATTCAGTTCTGACACAGAACAAAAAAAACCAATTTGAATTTAAGATCGACATGGCATCAAAGATTAAATTGGTTAGGTGTACAGGAGATCTCACTGATGTTCCCAACCACTGTGTCACTTGTGTCTCAGTCATGTATGTGTTGGACACTTGTAAATTCTTGTATTTTGTTTCCCTTGGTTTTCTCAGCTTTGGATTAACACGCAGCCTTGGTGTTCTACACTTAACTAGCCACTGCATAGTTCAGGATTTGTGACTGACATGTGGCAGTTGTGAACCAGGTCAGGCCTTGTCTTGAAATAAGGAGACCGGTAAAAAGCCCATCATCAGGGGGGCGGAAGCTTTGATTCTTTGGATTTTATTTTACTGGGTTTATTACAGATACCCACAAAAGTATTTCTGTGCCATGTATAATGTCCTACCAAATTCTATATAGCTCACACATGGTATTACAACTAGCAAGACTAGTATACATCAGCATTATACTACTGCAAAGGACTATAAAATGTCCATTTATGTCTATGATCTTGAGCAGCTGGATACATAACAATTTTTAAGAATGCATATATAAGAGTAAAGGTCTTTAAAGAAATGGCAGGCATCTGAAGATGAGGTCCAATTCACAGATCTCTTTTGTCAATATCCAACTCAAAATATCCAACTTCAGGCATGTAACTTCAGTAGCTGGACCTACTTCCACCTTTTGAAACTCCAAGCAAGGCATGAATGCTGCTTAGATGCTCCAAACAGCTCTTTGGAAGAACTTTTATTTCTCTGAGTATAGAGACACATTAGGGAGAACAAATGGCTGACATAACCAGCTGTAAAAAGAACGTAAAGTTGAGTGATGTGACGTTTCCTTATGAAGCCTGATTTTCAGAGGTGCTGAGTCATCTTTTGATGCCTAAATACATATCTGTGAAAACTGGGATTTGAACATCATAAAGAAATTTTTCCTTACCACTAACCTTAAAAAGGCAGGATCACCATACCCTTATCCTGAATTCTCTTATTTGGATTGCGTTCAGAATACTTGTATTACCATAGTAGCATGAATAACACTTACATTCACAACAGACTCCTTGAACTTGATGTGAAGCCTGTAATTAGAAAGCGCAATGATGGCATCCTCTGCTCGTCCTACATACTCCGTACTCTCACCATGGAGTTCAATGAATGGGACCTTCAGAATGGGAATAAAAATCTTTCAGAAAACGTTTACCAAATATGTACCTCCAGTAAGCATACACTAAAGCACACAGTATCATAAATTCAAAATGAAACACTGCTGAGAATTCAGCCTAGCTGTTACTGCTAAGAAGGAAAGTCTTGGGTAAGGTTGGCTCAGGGGTTAATTGTCGCTGCTTAAAAAAATTATTCCTCATTTTCTCTTAATTTTCCTGAGTAGTAAGTGCTTGGTCAGGGAAAACAATGAATTTTAATGAAAAATCTGAGCAAAATATCCTCACATTTTGGCAAGCAGTCTGACCAACGCCTTGATTTATGCTCTTACTCCTTACTTAATAGAGAGTGGCATTTCCATAACGTTTTTAAAATCATCCTAAAGTAGGCAAAACATGTAAGATGAATAATTTTATATGCTGTTGGTGCCCAATATTCACTAAGCAAGCTCAGGCTAACCAGCTCAGACTGGATACTTAAATGCTACACAGCTGATGTCAGTTGGACAAATCATAATTTTGCTTCGTATTTCTCACTGCAAATATGAAAATGGATGACATGCTACTGTTTTATGAAGTCAGAAAACATGCAGTTGTATTATATTGCACATAGAAATTGCAACTGTTTAAAATATGACTTAAGCCCAATTTAGCTGAGTTGGGTGAAAAGTGTATATGGTCAACTTTAAAATAACCTTGTTTTACACCAACTTAGCTTAAATCAATTAAAATATTTTCTATTAAAATGAAACAAACTACCTTTTCAGTTGATATAAGAGTGTCTACACTTGAACTAAAGTGACTGCAAAAGGAACTTTGGAAAACTACGAAACCAAAAAATATCTATTTTGTGCAACATAAGACTTTTGGCTTCTCAGTAAAAAGAAGTAATGGTAGAATTAGTTAAGCTTAGTGTTATTCTTTTAAAAAACAAAGAGTTCTAAACTACGGAATAAAACCTAGCATCTGAAATTACTACACAAGTAATGGCTGTACTTTTCAGACACTCTAAGGAATCTCTTGTAATATAACGCACAAGTTCTCTGTCCTACCAACAGTATGTGAGTATTTAAAAAGAAAATGTGTTTCTCCTATTACTGTGCTCAGTTGCCAATGAAAATTCTATGGGAGAGGCCAGAGAATACACAGGTCAGCTAGAGATATGGTGAGCTTAACTGGCAAACTGGTGATTACCTGAAGGTTCTCATCCTCTCGGATTAGCTGCTTCCTGGGAAAAATCTGATTAGCCTGGATGCATTCAAGGCTGTGCTGAGTCTCTTCATCCTGAGAAACAAAGCATTACAGTTAACTTCAGCACTGTCACTTGCTGCCTTCTTCACCACATAGCAAGCTATCAATGACCAATGAAAAGCTCAAACAGAATGAAGCATTTAGAGAATTCATGTATCAGTAACTTACTAAAGTTACTAACCTTCCAAAGACAAGCACTCAAAAGAATCAAATATAATATTAGAAACCAGTTTCCCTCCTGCAGCCCAATTAGTAAAGTCATAAAAAAAAGACAACCTGTAATAGTATTAGAAAAAAAGCATTAACTAGCCTAGCCTAGTACTATACTTAAAATTCAACAACTCCCCATGTAAACATTAATTCACTATGGTTTTTCAGATTTTAGCCTACTCTGCTCTGTAACAGACCCTACAAACCCCTTTTGCTTACCATGACAGGCCCTGGATTGGAGGAGAAATCCTCGTCTTGACTCAAAATACTTTGAGGCTCTTCTTCACTTACTATTAAAATCTAGAAAACCAGAAAAGTATAATGATGAAGTTAAATTCATTTTCTTTTGGCAAAAAAACACAAATTAACTTTCAAAGACTAAGAATTCAGCTGTTAGAAAACTGCAAGAAAACAGTAATTATGAAAAGATGAAATCCATATAAACTAACTCTCCTGAGAGACAAAATTGTTTCAGAATGTGTCTGGCTCCTTCTGTTCATTCTGAAAAGTCATCTTTGAATGTACTGCTGGGAGAATACCCATCTGAATGCAGCAATTAGACCAATGTTTATATAATTTAAATTAAACCATGTTCATCTTTCTAGATCACTGTCGTGGTTTAACCCCAGCCAACAACTAAGCACCACGCAGCCGCTGTGATCACTTAGTCTGACCCATTATGTAACACAGGTTGTCGGATCCCCCTGGAGTAATCTTGTTTCAACTACTGCATATGAATTAGAATTCATATACAGATAAAATTCCTAATTTTACAGTTATGACTCATCTTCTACATCCATGAACATATCAAAATATTTCCTGCACCAACCTTTTCAAGAGCTCCAGATCACTATACACTAGCAACCTGCTCTCCCCACTATCTAATAATTCCCCGATCTTTTATCATCTGCAAATTTTCTGGGAATATTAAAGAGCATACAGTCTTGAAGTTCATACAACTGACCCTATTAGGAACTTAATGATTGAAGTGAATACTGAAGTTATAATTTGATTTTGTGATTTATCTTATACTCAGTTTTTTAAATTCAGGTAGGTTCTCCTCTTTTTTAAAGAAAAGGATTCATTCAGGTATTTTATGGGTTTTGCAGTCTACAGCACATAAAAATACAAATCAAAACACATCAGTCGAGTTCAGTCAGTTCTCAGTTCATATGTCAACTTATTTACAAAAATATTTCAAACTATCAGTGTTGAAGTATTTTTTCTGTCAACCACAAATCCATCAGGTCACAAGCACACCCCTACTGCAGGAAGTGCTAACTACATCCTGTATATTGTACAGAATATTTACAAAGGGAAAAGGAGCAGCAGATTTTGAAACATATTCTGAAGTGAAAACACCCCGCTGTCTAATGATGATCGAGAAGAAAGCATTACACTATCCCCCAAATCCCTATTAAATAGGAGCATCACAATAAACTGCCTGTATGTCCCTGGAGTAGGGGAGAAACAGTATATAAAAGCTTGCAAGTTGGTTCAAAATCACATGGCTTGCAGAAGGACATGTATGTGTATACATATATTTATATAAAAGGAGGAAATGATGAGCAGAATCAAGCTGGAACTAGCACCGATTCACTAAAAATTAATGCAAAAAGTAAATATAAAACCCCAATTTTAAATAAGCAAGAAAACCTAGGAGACTTGATAGAAGTCTGAATCTATCAACTATGGAAATCAGTAAGGAAGAATTAAAAAACAGCACAGAAATTTCCACACCTGCAAGAACAATGGAAAATAGTAACATTCTTTTAAGTTATCAGAAATGAAGGAAATCTAGAAATGCGATCTACCAACAACAAGATGAAGATTGTACTATTGTTAATATTGATTTTTAAAAGGCAGAATTATTTAATGTTTTTGTTTCAAAAGAAGCAGAACATGGTTCATTTGTAACCCACAGTGTATCCAATAAGAATATTCAAAGAATCACAATGATCGAAACTAGAAAGGACATAAATCCATCAGGTTGGATCTTTAATGTATCAGAGGCCATAAAATTCCAGCCCTTGTATTCAGAATGAGATCTTGTGCTCATACCAGCATGACTTGGTATTTTACGTATGCTGTGTTTGGGTACACTTATCTTCCAAAAACATGTCTACTCTTCACTTGAAGATACCGAAAAAGGAGGGGTTTAGCAGGTCTCTCCAATGCATCTGGTTTCAGCTTCAAACCTTTGGTTCTCACTGAATGTGTTTCAAGATTACATGATGCACCATTCTCCTTGATCTACAAGATTTAAAAACTGATCCTCCTGCTCAATCAAATTTAAAATGATGGCTGGCTAAGCAACAGGCTTATTCATCCAATCTACCTCTATAATACAGCTCATCCATCAAGAAGGGTGCAGACTGGATTAACTTTAGAGTATATCCTGATACAATGAAGACTAATGATTCAAGAGAAGATGGGTTTAAATACTGTAAGGTTTACACAAATCTCCTTCTCCATCCTTAAAATGACAATAAACTTACACATTCAGCTCTCAGGTCTAGAGCCAGCCAGCAGGAAGAACCATGAAGAGTTCGGGCATGTTTATATGAACATTTTTGAGGAGGACATCTCAGTTATTGCTCCTGCAGGCTGGTAGCACAACGGCCTTCTGCAGCCAACTACCTCTTCACCAGCACCAACTGTGCTCTTCCAGAATAGCAGCCACTGTTAAAGTCATTAAGAGCAAATATTTCCAGCTCAATTCTAGACAACTTATGAATAACTTGAACAAAGCTTTAAACATTAATAGTAAAGCCTTCTGAATATGAAAGATACCTTGCTATTTCAGAAAATTCCTTGAACTTCAGGCACAATTATCAAAGAAACATGGACCTAATTAAAAAGATGAGCTTTATTACAAATCTAAAGCATGCTTAGTGTTACTGCTGAAGTTTTAATATATTAGGCACTGTACTTAACATTGTTCTTTTATACTTCAGATTGATTAGATATATTTATTTTTAAAGTTTACTATATAACTATATATACATTAATAAAAAAACAGTATTAGCTTAGAAAATTAGGTCTTTTAAAATTTCTTACAGCTGTTCTCCTAAAATCCAGCATAAAACATCAACAAAGACTATCCCAATTACTGCAGAACAGGTTTATTATTCTAATTGCTGCATTCAGCTGCAAAACAGCTTCTATTATAATACTGTGGCTTTTTACACAACTGAGAATCTTCCTTTTTAGGGCGAATTTTGGGAAAGCTGTGTGAAAAATAAATGTCAGTTTCAGTTTTAATCAGGATTATCACATATAAACTGTGATGTTGCCAAGACAAATGGTACAAGAACTTATAAGACAGGTTCTAAAACAAATAGTTTGCAGTCTCATGCTGCTCCTAGGTATTAGTGAAATGCTTCACCAACTCAACTGCCACAACACAAAAGTACTTCTAAAAATTGCTAGCAAGGAGGTTTCTGGCCCTAGCTTTAAGAGCACTGCCTTAGAAGTAAGAACATGAACGTTCTTCATTTTGTCAACTCCAGCAAGCCACTCTGTTGAATTTTACCCATGGTAATTAACACACTGTGCTGCTCTGCTTGATACCAAGTGAGACTAGCACAACTGGCTGACTTGTATCATTTGACCAGTTGGCCCATACCATTTTTTTTTAATTAGTTGGAGAATGGAATCAGAATTCTTGTTCTGTTTAACTGCAGCTGGCAAATAATCAGCTCTTCCATGACAGTAAAAACCATTTCCCAGAAATTAAATGGAAACGTTCAAATACAGCTTAGATAATAAATGACCAAGAAAACATCGTCATAAAAAGCATCCACAAATTGAGGGTCCTACTTATAAATAGAATCACATATAAATAGTAGATAGCTTATACGTAGTGCAGTGAAACTTGCTTTTATTGTTAGAAATAGGGTTTTTTTGGTTAGGACTGAGAACAGAAAAAGTTATCAATCTATTGTGCTGCCCTTTCAACCGTAGTTTCACATATATTAAATTACACCAAAAAAGAGGTTAGTCTTGTTAATTCACCGTGCTTATGTTCTGCTTGAAAAGACATATGATTAGTAAAGGTTGTAACCTCAGACTCTGTTCTGCCAGTATGGGAACATCTTAATTACCTTTCCTTTCAGATGTGCCTTCTGGCCTAAATTATGTATATAATTAAGACTAGCAATAACCATCTGTTTGCCACTGATTCTAAACAACAAAGATGACATAAATAAAGGATCACTTAAATTCAGATATATTTAAACGTAGTTGGACTTATGGCAAGGAAAGGAAAAACTGGAGGGGAAAAGAAGGAAAAAAGAAGTGCCTAATCATTTCACTTTGTTCCCCTGACTTCCTTGTCCAGATTCTGAATTCCATTCATTTTAGTATCTAAATTGAATGCAGTTGACCCTCAGTCTCAAAACATAGCTATTTACATGCTGTATCACAGTTGCCCTTTAAGTTTTAGATAGGAATCCAAAGGTTTTGACAAAGCAGCATTAGAAAATTTGAGAATTAAATATTCAAGAATGTGATCTAGCTTTAGCAAAAGATGCTTCTGTTACAAACTGAAAACACTTCCTCCCCTTTCACAGGTGGAAGGAAATTATTCTGAGATAAGGATAAACACTTAAGTTTCCCACGTTTCAATCCCTGACACGAAGGTTTCCCTGCTCTTTCCTGGCACCACACATAGAAGTAACTGAATAGCTTTCAAAAGTTATTTACTGGGAAAGTAGCTAACAATATGGACATTTGCACATTACTCAGGAATATGAGCAAGATAGACAAAGAATCACGCTGTGTAAAGATTGTGCACAACTAAGAAGTCACTTCTTTTATATAATTAAAGGTTGCAAATTCCAACTTAGTAAAATATTGATTTTTGTTTAACATCTTGGAAAATGCTTTATTTAATTAAGAGAGTAATCAATGATAACCACAGAATCCACCTTCAACAGGCAATTCATTTTACCAAAATAACACAATTAGCTTACCACAGAATGAGAGGTAATAAAACAATCCTCTTTGTCCCAGAAAGTTTCAAACGATACTCCTCCAATACTTCACATTGGCAACTGCAAATAAAAGGACAGTACTTCAAAACACGGACCTACATTAAAAAAAAAGGCTTCTTAAATAGCTAGCAACTTATACAGAGTTTGTCTTAAAGAGGGAAAGTAAAAAGTACTAACTACTATGTAAGTCCTAACTACCAACATCTTAATGCACACAAAGAAGGAATTCAGTGATTGGATTCTGACAGGTACATGTGTGCTGGTTAAGGCCTCTTTTCTGGAAAGGAACAGTTCAGAAGTGGTGGCCGCAAAGCAATTCAATTTTTTTCTTACACTGCTTTAGTACATAGAAGTGAAGAAAAAAAAAAAAGCAATATAAGCTACAGGAGAACTCTTTTATAGGAGATCCAACTGTTTTTCTATCAATCTTCAAAAGTGTTTTTTAATTTTACACTAAAATTAGCTTTGTCGCCCCCCAAGCAGATTAAAGCCTCCAAACAGTGGTTGTTAATACTTAGTACTTTCAGACAAAGCTGCAAAAAAGCCAAGGTGAACAGCAATGCTCATATGATACCATTCCTCCCAAGCCCTATCTTTTTGACTTTCCAAGTGCTGTACAAACAGCTATTTCCTCAAAAATACATTTAAGTATTGTGTCCCAAATACATATTTGTCAAAAAAATTATATGGAGAAAATATATGATTTGCTTCATTCGTATGTAGTCACTTCAGTAGGTATTTCTATAGCATATGAATGACTGCTGGGACACAAAGTTCTATACTAAAATACCCAAACCCTAGAATTAAAGTTCCAGACTAAACCCAACCATTCCCAAAGCATGCAAGCAGCCAAACTGATGGAATACTACTCCCTTGTATCCAGTGTACCAAGAGATTTGTTCTTCACAGTAACTTGGAAGCTATCCCAATAGCATTCTGCATGTGTATGTGCCTGGAAGGTCTAACTTCTATAAACATATAATCCTACTGCTACAAATAGTTTGCTTGTACTCTGATGTGCCACAAACACTTTTTCCATTAAAAAAATAATTCTCTATTTTGCTTTTATTGCGTACTTTAGTTTATGGCTTATGACACAGAAAATATAAAAAATATTTTCAGTACACAAGGACATATAATTTCAGGACTGACATAGTAGAAAGAAATAGTTTTAAAAGTACAAACTTAAATGCATCAAGCAAAAGAAATTCTAACATTTCACACAGTGAACACACTATAAGGGAATCTCATAGGTACTGACATTCAGCCATTATTTTTTAAAATTATGATATTAGAATGCTCTGCTTTAACAGAAAACACCTTATGAATGATCACAGCTGTTAAAAACCTCAAGTAATCATCAATCAACATTTTGTAAAACAGTTCTAAAAGCAACATTTGGTTACCTGCAACAGGGGTCAACTTTTTAAATATTAAAATCTCTCTCAACTAACAAGTCAAATGCCAACTCCAAGAGCTTTATGGGTTGATAATTAAATATGACACACGAAGCAGAAAGGACAGAGTTTTACTTTGAGGTACCAGTTTGATCAAGCAACAAGTTCAACTTTACAGCTGCTTGGTTATACAAAGTCACCTTTGACGGGAATACTTCGCAAGCTTATTAAAAAAAAAAAAAAAGCTATGAAAGCAGACTACGCAACTCTAGAACTACTCTTCAGAGACAGCTTTCTGGCTAGATCCTTGCTTTTTAAAAGGCAAGATACACATTTAGGGTAGCAGGAGGTAGACTTATTTTACGTGTTTTAGGTCCAAGGAAAAAAAAACCTTCACAAAAATCTGCAACAAGCTTTTTATTGAATTTAATGAGGTTTGGAAGAAGCCACTGAATCTCAAGCATTTTGTAGAGAGTTTTAAAAACAGGAGAAAAATGTTCCAATATAAGCGTTAATAATTCCGCTTTATTCCTGCCAGTATTCAAAAAACACTTCATGACACGTTCTTCAGCATTCCTCTTGCAAGGCTGCTAGTCACAGATAAGCACCTCAAATGTTATCACTTCCTAAGTCAACAACTTGTGCCAAAATAAAATTAAAAAAAAAAGCTGACTGTAAGAAACATTACTCTGAATTCTACTACCATCTCAAAAACATTAATTACTCAAGGGAGGAGCAATCCCAAGTACTGGTGTATAACTGTTTAATTAATACAGCTAAGCACATCTAAGTTTGCTGCCACTGAGGAGGGTGACGCAGCCTCCCCCTCCCTGTGCTCCCACCGTTTCCTCTGCATTAGCTCTTCTGTCAGATCCACAAAGAACAGATTCAGCACCATTAGGAAAGCAAAGGGTAAGAGATGAAAAAGGGAAGAGGAGGGTTTCAGTAAATCCTACAAGTAAAACATATCTAGTAAAGACACTGGCTTTGCACCATCTTTCTTATTATAATGGCTGTCATTCTCAAAGCTCGTTTGGTTTAGATTTTTAAGCACAGGTGCTCAAGGACATATTAACATTGCCCAATTTTTAACAAATTCTGCCACAAAGCTCCAGTACTTAGGGTGACGTGAACACAAACACTTAAACTAAGATTTTGCTTTGAACCATCTGCTTCAGATCCTTCTCTGTTGACTATTTCAGGAAGTTGGGCATTAGGTGAACACTAACTAGCACACAGGTCATGGCTCCATTGTTTTTTCTTAGAAGATGCTATGGGGAAGTAGTGGTGGGATGAGATATCAATCATACTGTAACGGTAAAACAAGTATAATTGCAGGGGGAAATTCAGAATAATGGTTGTGAAGGTGTAGAACTTTTAATCCCTGAAGATATTTCAAACCCAAGGAGCCCTTAAGCAACACAATCCAGCATCATTTGGTCCTATTCTGAGTAGTGTTGGACTACATGACCTCCAACCTAAATTATACCAAGAGTCTGTGACCATGATTTTCTTAACACATTTAAATAAAACATTGGCAAATAACTAGGAAAAACACTCTTGAGAAGTTTTAATAAACATGTTTGTTTAATTAGGAGATTGGAAAGTTGTCACTTCAGTTTCTTAGCTGAAAGGCTCTATCTAGCAGGAACAGGTGTGATTTGACAAGCATAAAGTGAAATGACAGGAGAGAAGAATAGCTTTAGAAAACAACAAATCCAGCTTTTCTCTAGCCACAAAGCTATCCTGATAAAGATGCCTACAAACAAAACCAACCCAAACTTCTAGCAACTGACTATTTTAAAGATGTATTTTTTTCCTCCCTTTGCTGAAATACATCATTTCTGCATTGGTTATGCCACACCATGTCACAACCTTAATGTTATGCAAGTGCAGCTTCTGATTAGAAGTTCTCTATTTCTGTTTACATTTCTAACTCTGCGGTATTACTGTTCCCACATAACCAAGCTCTGCAGTGACCGAACCTCCTCCTGCACCATTTTATCACACACTTACCATTTCATCACCTTGTTGTTTGGCTGCTTTCTGCTCAGCTTTAGCTTGAATATTGGCTGTAGACTGTTCTCCTCTTTCCTTTTTATGTTCTTCCTAGTGGACTTTAGCTTGCCTCCACACCCCCATTTTTACCCTTATTCTTGGGTGCTCAAGAACAGGAACAGAGTGCTACTATCAGCTGCCTACCACTTGGGGTGACGTCATTTGCTTGTGGCCAAGTTCAAAACCACAAAGGGGATGAGAGCAATGGGACTGTTCCCCTGAATACAGTTGTTCCTGAGACGGGATAGTGCAAGGTTACTACTTAATAGAAAGTTTTAAAACATACACAGAGAAGGGGGAATGCTGATCTTCAGGGAAGTATTTTCTAGTTTCTACTGCCATGTGTCTTCTCTGTCATACACTTACACAGATGAAGTTACATAACTTCCATTTTAGAAAGCAGCTGAATATGGAGTGTACACATCCATACTCAAACGCATGACAGAGTAAGCAGAGATCAACAGCCATACTGATGACCTTACTTTCCATTAACACAGATGGGAAAGTGTCCTATGTAAGAGCATTTCAAGAGTGTCTTACTCCATCTTCCACTATACCCACGCTTTTATGAGTGAAAAATAAAAATGAGTCCAAAGCATCAAAAAAGTTTCTGTCAACATGTATCACTGCACTGACTCATCATTAATGGTAGGTAATTTAGTTTCCTGTAGAACCCTTTACAGGTAGGCATATTAGCTTCATCTTCCCACTCAGAAGAGGCATTCATCTGTTTTTAAAGCAGCTTAAGCTGATTATCTCTGCATAATAGTTAAAAAAAGATCACATTACACTCTTCAAAAATTAAATACAGAAGCAACAGTTCAAAGTTAAACCAAAAAAGCATCTCAAACTGTAAAGAAAGCTTGAAAGAGCAAAAGAAAGCAGTACAGAAGGCAGTAGAAGCACTTCCGAGACTGCACCTATCTAACAGTCAATGGCAGTAAAAGCAATTTGATCTTGCATTAGGAAAAGTCCCATTTTCCATAACTGATGTAAAGAATAAAAATCAGTGTAACTTTAGGTGGGATTACAGAATTAATTATTCCAATAAATAAGACTTAAGGAAAGTTTCTGAATAAAAGAGTATATTAATATTCTGCTCCACTGATCTCAAAACACAGGTCAAAAGATCACAGGAAGCTTGAAACCAAAATGTGAAGAAAATGTCACGTTCCTCTAAGATTTCAGGGGTTTAATTCCTTTTTCATCCAGATAAAGCTGAGATTCAAATGCTGCAACTGTTCATACATAAGCCAGGACACAATTTACCTATCAGAGATGTTCTGATCAGCCACTGGAAGTTTAAAGTTCAAATTAATTACCCATTCCATCATGTTCATTTTATTTCAATTACTCCATATTCTTCCATTTTATGTGCATGACAGACAAGTAGTATCTACCAAGAAGGACCAACATGGTACGCACGTTGGTCTGAACTGCAAGAGCTGCAAGGATGGGGGCTGAATCAAGTAGTCCTATATAAAAGTTGACAAGATGCAGAACACAGGCCAGGGCCTGAGCCGTGGAAACTCAAGACTTGTTTAGGGTCTAAGCTAAGAAGGTGACCAAGCGTGCTGCAGAGGGGCTATTATGTGAAAAGGTATA